TATATTTTATTTTTTAAAACTAACTAAAACTCAGCCTCACAGTGCCGTGAGAATCAGTCAGATGTAGAAAATTTTAAAAGAAAGTTATTCTCATTTACTAAAAGTGCTTATTATCTGTTAATTTCAGCAAGACTCACCCCCCTTAAGACGAAAGCAATTAGTTACCCGATAGGACAGACACTATAAATAATGAAAAACTATAATTACCTACAAGAAATGGAAAATTGTATCGTCTAATTTACAGCATTAATAAAATATTATTGTGCCTATCTTATTTAAGTTCACGAATCGAGGAGTCAGTCAGTAGTAAAACAAGTATCACATCGTGCTCAAGAACTGCAAAATATTCTCCGCATATTTCTACTACTTCAAATTTAGTATTTTTTAAAAGAAGCACTCTTTACCACAGTTCGTTCGCAACATGGCAAAATTCAAGTGGAATTTGCCAAACGACACAAATATGTTATTGCTGAAAATTTGTGGACTCTGGCCGGAAGATGACACCTATCAATATAATCCTTACTTTCTCTATTTTCTTGCAGCCAACATTGTCTTTATTTATCCTCACAACATTTGCCAAATCATCATCCTATTTTACATCAGTGACATAAGTGTGGCCGGTGCTATCATCTTCGTTATCCTAACAGATTTAATAGCAGTAGTAAAGATGCATTTAGTGGTTAGACACATGAAAATGCTAAAGAAGCTAACAGCAGCCACCAACAGCTCGATGTTGCAACCACAAAACGAAGCTCAAGAACAAGCCGTGATGGGTGGTATCACTTTCTGGACGAGATCGTTTCAATTTTTTTTCTTTTCTGGAATCGCGACGTTATTTTTCTGGGCGATTTTTCCAATTCTGGATGGTGGATACAAAGACTATAAACTGCCGTTTATTGCTTGGTATCCGTACGATTACAAAAAGTGGCCTTATTATGAGCTCACCTACGTCCATCAAATGATCAGTATTGTTCTTATCGCAAATCTTAACATGGGGATAGATTCTTTGTCAGGGGCTCTTTTGACTTTCGTTGCAGCCCAGTGTGATATTTTGTGCGATAAACTTAGGAATCTTCATCTTAAAAGCGACGCTAGAGAGGCTTTCATTGGCTGTGTTAACCATCACCTTCGAATTATGAGGTAAGAGGAGCTGATTTCTTTTTCAAAATCTGTAATTAAAAATTTTAGACATGCGGAAGATACAAGCAAGTTCGTTGATATAGTGATACTTTTGCAATTCGTTTCCAGTTCTGTTTCGTTTGGACTTACACTCTTTGAGCTCAACGTGGTAACTAAACTTTTAAACAACCTATGTTTTACAGACTTTTAGTGTATTATTTTTTCAGGTGGTACCATTTAGTAGTCAATTTTATTCCTTCCTTATGTATGGGGCTGGAGTGATTTTGGAAATATTTATGTACTGTTGGTTTGGAAACGAAGTTGATTTAAAGGTAAGTCGGCACTATTATTTAGTTGACAAACTGGTTGTTTTTTACTTTTTTAAAGAGTAACAATATTTCGTATGCAGTATATGAATGTGACTGGACGAAATTTTCAAAGTCGTTGAAACGCGATTTAATGTTCTTTGCTCTTAAAACTCAAACCACAATCAAATTCTCTGCGATGGATTTATTTTATATTTCCCTTGAAACTTTTGTTCGGGTGAGTAAAACATTATCTTAGTTTTGTGTTGAAATTTATGTTTTCAGATTTTGAGAACTGGGTGGTCCTATTTTGCCCTTTTGAAGACGGTCAATACTTCATAAGTTAAGAGCGATTTGCACAAAAATAGTGTCACAGGAAATGTTAATAAATGAAATCACTAGTGAATAATCATCTTAAGTTATTACATACAAAGATATTTAGATAATGTTTTTGTAGTCAGGCAAAATAAAGACTTGGTGTTTAAATAGAATTTTGTTTAAAGGCGGATCTAAATATTTATTTCATAGATATATACTATACAGTATATATGTAACTAATTTTGTTCAACTAAAATAAAAGACTTGAATTTGAACAACACTTTTTTCTTTTCCAATATACAGGAACTCTATGAGTGCATTCGTTTGTCGGCACCATCCAAAGTTCTTTTGCCGGGTTTAAAAGATATTAGTGGGAGTTTTTCGGATGATAATTTCAAATATTTTTACTAAAATTTTTCTCGAATCAAAAAATGTTCTGCCTATTTTATGTGCAGAAATCAACGATTCATTGTCGACGAAGACTTGATTAAGAAATGATAAAATCTCACCGTCACGAGTTTAAATTCTCAATAGCTCCAGGAAATCATAATTTGTTTGAAAAAATATTTTATCTTATCCGCGGAAAATTTCCTTTGACACTCCTATATTTAATAAAGGGGATCAATTCGATTCAAAGAACTGCGCATTTCTTTTAAAAAGAAGTCGACTGTTATCTTTTAAACACAGATAGTTACATATTGTTAGACATTATATCTTTATCTCTTCCCCCCTCTAAAACTTGATGACGTTATCTCAAAATTTTGAATAAATCTTACGCAACATTTAAATGCAAAATATTACCACACTTGCAGTTTATCACTCAATTCTTAACCTTCAACTAATTTTTTATCGTTACTTATACGCGTGATTAAGAAAAATTAACTAATGAAGCAATTTTTCCAAAATTTACTCAAAATTCGCAAAATCAATTTTACAATTTTCTGTAAGCAATCTTGATTTGTTTATTTATATTTCATTGGACGAGAAAAATACTGTCTAAATATTAGGTCAATTTTTACTTCCTGAAAGTAAGCTTCCGTCTGTCTGTCTGTTTGTCTCTTTGTCTGTGTGCCCACCGTATGTTTCGAGTCTTATTAAGCAGATAATCTGCGAATCTACCGGAACGATTGTTCCCAAATTTTATATGTGTTTTGATATTGTGTAGACAGTAAAATATCTATCAAAATTTGTCTAATTACCCTCACGAATGATGGGAAGACGTCATCTCGAAATTTTACAGTAGGTAATATTTAAATTTTATAAAATAGGGGTAAGCTTGCGGTTTATGAATACGTGTTAAATTTTTACCCTAGACATACAGATTTTTGGAAAAAAATCAAAATATATCACAAAATTTTGTAAATTAACTTTGAAACTGCAAAATCGAATGCATTGAAATCTTATAAACGTTCTAATTTCACCGTAAGCAAGGTAAATTGTACAACAAAATTGTTTACTCCCTCTTAAAAAATTAATGACGTCATCACAAAATTTTGCCAAATAAACCGTAGCACTTGCGGTTTGTGAATCCGTTATAATTTTTTACCCATTTTTGGAAAAGAAAATTAATTATATAACAATACTTTAAAATTTAACTTTGAAATTTTGCAAACGTTTTAACGTTTTCGGAAGCCCAGTAAATGGTTAATCAAATTATGCATGCAAATTATGAATTCGTTTATGCCCCCCCAAATGGATGGCGTCATCCTACTATTAGGCCGAATAAATGTTATTTAAAGTTAATAAAATAACGTACTCCTGCACTTGTGTGGTTTATGATTCCGTGTTTGGGTTTTTACTCTAAACAACGATGGTTTTGGAAAAAAAATTGTGTACCTTTAATAATTAAAGTTTGAAACTGCAAACCGAATGCTTTTGAATCATACAAAAGCTTTAATATAATCAAAAACATAGTAAATCGTTATTCAAAATTAATCCGTTTATGTCCATCCCTCCAAAATGATGACGTCATCTTACGATTTTGCTGAATAAATGTTAATTAAATTTTAAATAATGACATACTTTTGCACTTGTGATTTATGAATCCCTGTTGAGTTTTTACCCAGATATCTAGACAGTTTGAGTCTATTTCTTGTGGTTTGTCAATGCATTCAAATATTTTTACTTTATAGACAAAAAAACCTCAGAAACAAATTTTTCAATTTTTCAAAGAAGTGGGTTTTATTGGATTGTACTTGAGGGACGAGGGAAATTCTGTCGAAATAACTTTCGATCAATTTTGAGTTTATGTCATAGAAAAAAATAGACTATACTATTGACAGATCAACAAACTTTTCGTAATGGAAGTAGAAGATAATCTATATGATAGATCAGTTTTATAAACATGTATGTAATTTTTTCTGTGTACATTCTGTACATTTAAATGTTTCTATTTATAACAGATTAATAATAATATCGAATTAGTTCGAGTACAGTCGAAAATTTCCGAGATTTTTTTTTTAATTCGACCTCCTGAAGCTGTTTATTCAAGTCATGGAGATCATTTTGTTTTACCCCTAAAAATTTTAGTAGCCACTAGAAAATTGCAGGATACTGAATTTATTGACATAGTTTTCTTAATAGGGGTTCTCTAAAATAGAATCAATTTTTCAATAATTAATATAAACAAAATATTGTGTTATTAAACCATTGCTTTTTACACTGAAAATCTGTTATAAAATTATAGTAACACCATTGAGTGTAAATAAAATTTACCGATAAAATTCTATTAATTCATCAAAAAACCAAAATCACTTAAAAAATTCACTATCACAAAAAATAGAATTTAAAAAAATTCTTAGACAACTTCGAACGTTAGCATTATTCCTTGTACGCAACACTTAATCGATGCAGATTAAATAACTTTCCAAAAAGGTATGTATAAATCATTTTCTTTTATTAAATACAAACAGCGTTTGGCTTTTAAACCCCATAATTATGTTTATTTTTTGAACCAACCATAACTACCTACTTTGTCGTGAGAATCCGTCAGATGTGGAAATTTTTTAAATGACATTTAAAACTGCTTATTATCTGTAATTTCCGCAAGTCTCACCCACCTGAAAACGATTACCCGACAAGACAAACAGAACGTAAATAATAAAAAACTATAATTACCAATAAGAAGTGAAAAATTTTATCATCTGGGTTATGGTATTAATAAAATATTATCGTAACTCTCTTAGCCTACTAAACTCATGAATTCAAGAGGCATTCAGTTGTAAAACCGATGTCGGCGCGTACACACTTCTTAAAACAATGGATAAATTTAATTGGAAATTCACTATCCGTTATAATATTCTAGTTTTAAAAATTGGCGGCCTCTGGCCCAAAGGCAACGAAGTTTACAAATTCAATTTCTACACTTTATACTCCATCGTCGCAATAAATTTATTTATCAACGGTCACAACTTTTTTCAAACCGCCAACATTTTCTTCGTCTACACTGATCTAACAGCACTTAGTGCGTTAATTTTTATAACTATCACCGACTTACTAGCGTCAATTAAAGCTTGCTACTTTGTCATCAACGTTGGAATTTTAAAAAACTTGATGGTTACACTGGACGGACAACTATTTCAGCCCAAAACATCTGCACAAAGAAATTTAGTGCAACCTAACTTGAAGTCGTGGAAAATAGCTTTCGTTAGCTTTTGGACACCAGCACTAGCCACGTTAATATCATGGTCAGTTTTTCCCATCATGGATGGGTCGTTTAGAGAATACAGATTACCATTTTCTGCTTGGTATCCTTATAATACCAAGGTATCTCCGCACTACGAAATAACGTACATTTACCAAGTTCTTAGCATTTGGTTTCTGGCTCTGAGCAACGTTAATATGGATACATTAATAGCAGCACTAATGATGTATGTTGGTACTCAGTGTGACATTTTGTCTGATGATGTGAAAAATTTGGGCAGTGGAGGAGTGTCGGAGTTTAACACGAATTTGTTGAATTGTATGAACCATCACAGAAATATCCTTAGGTAAAAACGTCGATTAGCATGGTTAGGATATCTATAAGAAGTTTTGCAGCTTTGCCGAAAATTGCAACAAATTTTTTGACAAAATAGCACTTGGGCAATTTTTTACAAGCTCGCTTTCGTTAGCATTGGCTGCGTTTCGGTTGACTGTGGTAAGTTTATTATAATTCTATAGTCAGTTTTGTCCTTACATAAAAAAAATAGGTTGAATCGTTGAGCATTGAGTTTTATTCTCTGCTGTTCTACGTGTTTTCCATGACGGTGCAAATTTTTCTCTACTGTTGGTTTGGAAACGAAGTGGAAATTAAGGTAAGTAGTAGTGTGATAAATATATAACAAATAGTTTTAATGTGTTTTAACAAATATTCCTTAGTTGGTGTTGAAAAGAAAAATTAAAAGCTAATTTGTATTTCAACTGTTAATTGCAACGAAATTTAAAAAGAGAATTATATTAACAACACTCAGTTTTAAGACAACAAAAATATTTTCTGTTGGTTATTTGATTTTATTTTGCTACTAATTCTGGTTGACTTTTACTAGAATTTTATCTGGTACTTGATCGTTGTTTAAATTTTTTCTTTTGCTACGTACTTTTAATTACATGCATTTCTGCCTCTTTTCACTGGCATCAACTGTTTTGTACAATTATTTTCTCCCCATTATATCGGAAAAGTTTTGTGAAAAACTGTGTCACAATAAATGTGAGTTTTTCTTCTTGTATGTAAAATATTTCTATAAGTTACTAACCAAATCAAAGAGAACAAGTTGTATTAGTCTACTACTAAATTAAAAATTAAATTAAATTAAAAATTAGTCTAAAATTTAAAAAAATTGATTTTCGTTTTTGTGCACTGCAATATTTATTTTTCTTTTCTAACGGCATAAGTGTAATTTACAAAAAAAATTGGTCATACAGTTCCCGTTTCTTAGAAAAATTATAAAGTTAAATGATACGATTTTTAAATTGAAAACCAGTGGCGTAGATAGTAGATAACCGACAAGAAAAAATATATTAACAGCACATGTCTAACTTGGAGTGTAAGAGTGTTGGAAAGAATGTGACGATTAAGCATGCATGATTTGAATGATTTTTTTTTCTCCAAAAACAGACGAGGACCAAAATTAATCGACCTAGTGACCTTCGCGTTAATAGTTCGACATTTTAATCGCACTATTCCCTAATTTACCATAAGCTAGTGCTCTTATATGAATAATAATTAAATGAAAATCATGTTCTCTTTTTGTGAGTAAGGGTAATTCATGAGATGTTAATCATTGTAATAGGAAAGCTAACTCAGTTATTTTTAAACCAAAAAATGTAAACATTTATTTAGTCTTTTTGAAATTATCCAATAATGGGGGGAAATTGTGTGTAGAGATTTTTTGAATGAAAATAGTTGAAACTTTACTAACAAAATAAGAAAAATGTAAAAGACAACAATCTAAGAAAAACAACAAGAATATGGAACAAAATTTAAAGAAGTAGGTTATTTATAAAATAACTTATCGAAAAACAAAAAAGATGAGAAAGTAATGCCACTAACACACAAGTCACAATAGTATTACCACCATCAAATGCAACTAAATTGTGTTTTTGGTTTAAAAAAAATGTTACAACATTAGCGTTTAATGAAAAATTTTAAACTAAAAATAAAAATTTAATGCAAAATTCTAACCTTTATCGCTTCTTCTTCTGCTACAGTTTAGCGAATTCCCTCTTGTTCTTATAAGGACCCACTGCAACAAAAGTAGAACATTGTTAGTGTTTAATTTTTTTAAACCAATCTAGGTGCGAGAAACTGTAAAATTTGATTCTGCAAATTTTACTTTGCTGACCCGTTAAAATAAAAACAGGTTTTGCTGTCGAAAAACACAAAAATACAAATTCCACCGTTGGCGCTTTTTGCCATTGTGGTGGCGCCAAATAATTATAAAATACAATGCAACAACAATGAACAAATCTTAATTTCATGTTATTATGTTCATTTCGATTTAAATACACCAAACATTGAACAAATAGGCGTACTATAACGAATATTAAAGCGATAAATAAACATTAATAATATCATTTACCCTCTAAATCCTGAATTCCTTTCATTCCCCGCCGATCCTTGAAGTCCCCACTTCACCTTTTATTTTAGCACGAAAGTGATCTATTTTTAATAAAAAGAACAAGCACTCATCGCATTTAAAAATCTACTGTGCGAAAACGCATTAACTCCTCTGCATAACGTAAACAACAAAAAATTCTCAGCGCACTTCTTATCAGAGAGAATTTTTTGCGGAACTTTGAATCGACCCATCGCAGAGCAAAATCAACGCTATTGTAATTAAGTCGAGAAATTTGAAGATGTTCGTTTTTAATTTTATTGTTATTATCAGTAGAGTCACAAAGGGAAAAACTGCAGAGAATCCACTCAGAACTAATCTTACTTTTTGTTCATTTAGTATCTTAATAAAGCCGAAATAAAAGAAAAAAAAATGGTCACAATTTATTTCGACAAAACTTCCTTCGATCCAGTGGGGTAAATAACAGACCGTCACCTCCTACATCGCGAGAGCGTAAATTCCAAATGGGCACAGTCCACACAAATGCGCACAATATGAAATACGTTTAGAGCAGATAATAATTAATCGCAAACAATATATTCTTAATTCCTAGAACTTGTTTAACTTTGACTGTTTATGTTTATACTTCTAAAGAATTAGACCATATCTACGGTAGATCCTATCAGATAATAGTAGGAATAGTACAAGGAAAAAAAAGCCATGGTGGAATCGAACGTCCGTTGTTTGAGCGTAACGTCTGTTAGTCTAAGATCCCAAGTAAGAACGACCTTCACCGATTTGATAACCAGATGAAAATTATATTTTAAAAAATAAAATATGTTTGTGAACGTGTATCAATAAGGTTGCCATAAAAAAATATTCATGGCAATGATTAATTAGAATTATAAAAAAGTATAATTTTTTCAAATTTGACTCTCTTGGTTGCGAAATGACTCATAGTCTAATTGAAAGTATACAACATCTGCCTACCTTTTTCTGTTCCCTTTTACCTGGTAGCCGCGTGCAAACAGGTAAATTGATATTAGTAATTGTGCTCATCTGCTTACCATGATATTTATATATCAAAATGTAGGTAAATTTATTGCGAGTAGAGTAGTATAAGGTTGTTCAAGAAAATCTGTTCATAGATTACGGTAGCTAGGCTTTGAAGTTGCAAAAATTGGAGCATTTAACTATGTGTGACAGAGAAGCGTTGCTCGGACTGTACCATGCGATAAAGGATCACGTAGTATAGCAGCTGCGCGCTACTGGCCGGTAGAATATAAGAGAGTGCGCATGCTTCCTATTCGTAGTATAGACAAGGAAAAAAATAGTATACTATAGAGGATCATTTTCAAACGTAGTGAGTTTTATTCTCTCCTATTCTACGTGTTTTCCATGATGGCGCAAATTTCTCTTTATTGCTGGTTTGGAAATGAAGTGGAAATTAAGGCAAGGAATAGTGGAAAATATATTCATAATTAGTTTTAATCACCCGAGAAAAATGGAGATGCATTTAAAAGAAAATAAAAATTTAAGAAAAACAAAATTTGCTTTTTTGTCATATAAGATTTAAAATATCATTTTCGTTTCGGTGTAAATAATAATATGGCGATTTATTTAAAATGTTGTTGTTTTTTTTTTAATAAATAATATTCGTTTTTGTAATAAGTGACTGAAGTGTAGCTTTTTTTTCTCACTAATCCCTCGAGTGTTTCCAAAATCGACCGAAATTACATCTGAAAGCTAGTTATTTTTTTTTTAAATGTCATATTTGTACCTCTCATAGCTTCATTTACAAAAGTAGAGTTGTCTCAAATATAATAAAATATGTTTATATTTCAAAGTGACGAGTGGTATTTTTTTTATTTTGACCGCCTAGTGATACTTATACTAAATTTTATTTTATTTAAAATAACACTACCACGAAGACCTTGCAACATTTTTAACATTTAAAGAAATTGCTACATTTCTTTGCTTTGTTTTAAATACACTGCCCCACAAAAAAACCCGGACACTTAAATCTTTGTAAATTTACGGTAATGTTTAGTGTTTCAACTTTTTTTATTTTTTTTTGTTTCCACATGTTCTAGAATAAATTTGTTTTCTATTAATGACTACATTCATGATTTGCTTTTTGGAATATTTTTTATAAAAATTTGATCATTTGCAAGTAATAAAAAAAAATCAAATGTCCGGGTTTTTTTGTCTGGGAATGTATTATGATTATTACCGTTAAATAATTCGATGTCGTTTGAAGTTTTCAACAAAACAGTAAAACAGTAAATCGTATGCTGTTCTGATTTGTCTTATCTTGAATTAGTTTCCGAATATTGTTTGACAAAATTTTATAATTAATTAAGTTTACTTGAGTGGATTAGTTGTACATTCAGTTTCTTCATTTATTTTATTTATTAACTATGGTTGTGTTCGATTATTTCACAAAATTAATTTTTATAAAAATAAATTAAAAATTTACGTTTAAATATTTCGAATTTCGTTGCAAATCGCTGTTTTTGTAGAATTTTCTTATTTATTAAAATTACGTTTTTGTATTAATTACTTATAGTTATATTATTTCTGTATTGATTAGTTCGTTTTATAATGATCAAGTACAGCCATCGATTTTTGAAACTTTGTTTTCGAGTCTTGCATTTTAAACACAATTTTTCAAATTGACCGAAAGATAATGTAAATTTAAAAATTGCAGTTAAGAAGTTCAGTAATAACATTCTCCTTAAGGAAACAACATTTTGAGATACCAAAGGTAATTTTTATGCATATTTTCAGTCTGCTTACTTTACGAAATATCTCCGTTTTATATATTAATTTCTTTCCAAACAAGAACCTTATTGTTTATTGTTTTTGGCAGGTAATATGTACTTTTATTTAATAGAAGATTGTGAGGTTTTTTACAACTCTAATATAAAAAAAATACTTAAATGTAAATGTAAGCGAAGTTCTTGCAGCAGAGACACGTTATATTAACAAAATGGTTTAATTTACTTAGGTAGAACTTCCTCGCCCCTGAATTACAGTCGAACAAATGCAACGTTTTCCAAAAATTATAGAATTTAATTTAGCGATTTTTTTATTTTTTTATGATAGTAGGTCCAATAAGTTAAAATAAACCCCTGTGCGGACTGTCAGACCACTTCTAGACCACGGAGGGCTCGGCTTATTATGTGTAAAAAACAAGACGGATTAAACAATAAAAATATAATAATAAAAGAGTCAAGGCAGATTCATAAACTACTAGTGCAGGATAATGTTGTTTTATGAAATTTAAATTGCCTTTACTAAGAAACACTTTGCGGGAAGTCATCAAATTTTACGTTTTACCGTGTACATGATATTCCTAAAATGCATATAAAATTTGACGACAACGGTCAATTAGTCCTGGAGGTTATCTGCCGGGCAGACAAAATAATGAACATATTTTAACGTCATTTAGTTAAATGATATAAATAAATACATACTAATACATAATCTATGAGAATTTGAATCTAGCCTGAAGGTGATACCTACCAGTTTAACTTATACTTTCTATTTCTTCTCATATCCGTCGTTTTGTTCCGCTACCCCCAGAACATCTGCCAAATCATTGTCCTCTTTTACACTAGTGACATAACTGTGCCCGGAGCGATTATTTTCGTTATCTTATCAGATTTAATAGCAGTCGTGAAGATGCACCTTGTTGTTGCAAACATCAAAATGCTGAAGAAGCTAAGAGGAGCCATTGACAGTGAAGACCTTCAACCGCAAAATCAAGCGGAAGAACGTGCAGTGACGGATGGTATCGATTTCTGGCGAAAATCGTTTTATTTCTTTCTAAGTGCCGGAATTTCGACGTTATTTTTTTGGGGGACTTTCCCAATTTTGGATGGCGGTTACAAGGAGTACAAGCGACCGTTTATTGTTTGGTATCCGTACGATTTCAAAAAATCTCCGTATTATGAACTCACCTACATGCACCAGATGATCAGTATTATCTTCATTGCTAATCTTAATATGAGCGTGGATTCTTTCGCGAGTGCTCTGCTGAGTTTCATTGCGGCTCAGTGCGAGATTTTGTCTGATAAGCTCAAAAATCTCCATCAGGAAACCGATGCTAGAAGAGCTTTCGTTGGCTGTATTAAGCATCATCTTCAAATTATAAGGTAAGTGGGTTTGTGTGGTAAAATCATTAAAAGAAAACTTGCAGATACGCTGACGACAAAAGCAAGTTTCTTGATTTAGTAGTGTTTTTGCAGTTCGTGCCAAGTTCTGTGTCCTTTGGCCTTACACTATTTCAGCTGAGTACTGTACGTATTTTTTAAGGTTAAATATCGTTGTATATATTTTTTTCAGGTTGTACCATTTACCGGTCAGTTTTATTGGTTTCTTACTTATGGTATTGCCGTGACTCTGCAAATATTTATGTATTGGTGGTTTGGAAATCAAGTAGAACTGAAAGTATGTGGATGTTTCTTCAAGAAATGTATTTTCTGTAATTTGTGCTTTATTATGAAAGAGTCACAACATTCCATACGCAGCATATGAATGTCAGTGGTTTGAATTTTCAACATCTCTTAAATATGATTTGATGATCACTAGCAGCCATGTCGACTCATTTAGAGGTAGCAAATTCAACTTTTGCGACCACGGGTTCAAAAAGAAAAATTGAGGTTATGTACGCATTGTTTGATGTGATTATTTCTTAAAAAATGAACAAATGTGTGCTACTAACATTACTTGAGTATACGCATGGTAGTTGGTAGACGGTAGAAGATAAAATGATTAATTCAGCGACAAGTATAAACGGTTTTCTTTGTGTTGAAGATTTAGATTAAGTATGATTAGAAATTAAAACAAAATCATGTTGTGTCAAAAAATTGAACGTTTATTTTTTCAATTTCGCTGCGCGTCTCGGGTTCTAATTTGCGCTCGGTCTAGAATGCTTGGCTTTGCAACCTTGGCTAATAATATACTATTTCACTCTTCGGACTCAGAAACCGATAAAATTTTCAGCCAAGGGTTTGTTCTACACTTCTCTTGAAACTTTTGTTCGGGTAGGTAAACGAGGTACTTTGATTTTTTATGATAATTTTTTTTGTAGATTTTGCAAACCGGGTGGTCTTATTTTGCCCTCCTGCCAACAATCAACACTTCGTAAGATAATCATACACTTTTCATAAAGTTCTGTGTATTCACTTCAGATAATAATAAGTATTATTGAGTTTCCTTTTAGACTCTTAATCTTGTTATTATACTTTACGCTTCAATAAAAATATGCTGTTTGTGTTTTCTCGTTAATACATTTTTCTAAATTTCCTCAGGTGAAAATTCAATTAACCGATTAAATTAAGAGAAGGTAAAAACTGTTACGTGAAAAATAAGGTTACTAGTTATTATTTATTTAATTCATTTTATGTATATCGTGGACAGCATGTGCCACGTCACAAACAAAGGCTTAATATAACGTGTATTTAAAAAATAATATCTATATTAAAATATGCATCAAAGGATTCTGCATTCCGAGGACGGGTTGCATTCGTAATTTTAATATTTAATTAAGCTTTTACCAACTTTATTCCTGTGTAGTGACGTAGACATTTAACTGTATATATAGGAAAAAATATGTGAACAAATTTAGTTCAAGTTGTGTCACTAGTGTCGCCCGGATTGTTGCTAAATTTTCTGTGAGTAATGGAATCAAATTAGTATGTTCCGTTGTAGAATATCAATAAAAAAGTGTGTAATCAGGTCACATTTTGCCTTTAAATTATTGTTGTCAAATTTATGCAGTTGAGGTGAGTGTTAATGAGTGTTTAATCTGATCGGCATTTATCAGAAACAAGTAACCAAACACTAAAGGATAAATCTATTTAAAATTTTTCTAAACATATCACAGCATCTGATATTACTTACAAATATTTTTTTTTTAATAATTTCACAATACATTAGACGAATTGATTTTAAACTAGATTTCTCCAATTTTAATATATTTATTATTTATTCTAGTTTACTCTTGTCTCCGTTTTTAGCAGAAATTTTTATGAACAATATTGAAACAAAGATTTATTCAAATCCTCAAATATTATATACACATCAAAAACATCCATGGATTTTTGAAGATTTCTCTTCGATAGAATTTTCGTTTTGTCAGAAATGTCGTTTCACTTTGAAAGCTTGAGTTGAAAATTCAATGATCAAAGACAAAGTTTCAGAAAACATGACTGTCTTTAATCGTTTTTTTGTTGCTCTCTCCGTATGTAATATCATATTATTTATAATTACTTGCTATAAATTTTTGCATTTTTTCAGTTTGCAAACTTTTAATTGTTACTATATTTACTTTTAATTTCATAGACAGTATTTGTTTTGAAAAATAATTAAATAGCGTTATGCTGTTAGAATATATCTAGTTCCATTTATCATTAAATTTTGAAAAGAAAAATATTTTTGAACAATTTTTAAAAGTCTTGATCTTTACAAGACAGTAACAACTACTCCATTCTCTGCAACACTACGTCAAAAGTATTTGTTTTTATGAAATGGGAGCATGGTAATTAACAAGAGATACACTATGCCCAACGAAACTGAAAATCCAAATAATAAGGGACACTAGTTATTTATGTATTAAAGGCATAATTAAAGCTCTTAATTTCCCGAGGTCATAATCGACAATATTGTGGAAAATTATAAAAAAAATTATTCATACGAAAGTCCAAAAATTTTTGCTAATGAAATGATTAAACCATTGTGTTTGCACTGAAAGTCAATACAATAATAGTGGCAATAATAGGCGTAAATAAACCTTACCAATAAAATTGTGCTGATAAAAATCCAAACTCACTTGAAAAATTCACGACTACAAAAAAAAAACACAATTTCACAAAAATTCTCAGATAACGTAAAATGTGAGCAATATTTATTCCTCAGCAACACTCTATCGATGCTCATTAACCCTCCACAAAACTTATTTTAAATCAATTTCTTTAATAAAATAGAAACAGCGTCTTGCTTTCAACCCTATAATTATCGTTACATTTTCAAACAAACCATAACTCTCAAGGCGTCCATTTTGTCGTGAGAATCAGTCAGATGTAGATTTTTTTAAATGAGATTAAAGCTGCTTATTATCGGGTAATTTCAGCAAGATTCACCCACCTTATGACAAAAAAAATAATTGTTTTCGTAATTTGGGTAATTATTACCCAACAAGACAAACAGAACATAAGTAATGAAAAACTATAATTATAAGAACAGAAAAATTTTATTCCCTGGTTTAGAGTATTAATAAAATATTATCGTAATTTACTTAGTTTGTTAAAGCCATGAATCCACGAGTAGTGAAAGCAGTGTCAGCGCGTAGACAGTCCTTAAAAGCAATGGATAAATTTGATTGGAAACTAACTATTCGTCTTAATATTATTATTTTGAAAATTGCCGGTCTGTGGCCTAAAGGCAACGAAGTGTATAAATTCGACTTCTACACAATATATTCGTTCTTCGCTTTAAATTTATTTCTCAATGTTCCCAATTTTTTTCAAGCAGCCAACATTTACTTCGTCTACACTGATTTAACAGCATTAACTGCCATAATTTTTGTGACTTGCACTGAATTACTAGCGTCGATTAAAGTTTGCTACTTTGTCAGTAATATTGGAATTTTAAAAAAGTTAATGGTGACACTGGATGGACAATTGTTTCAACCTAGAACATTGGAACAAAGAAGATTAGTGCAACCTGGGTTGGATTCATGGAAAATGACTTATACTATCTTTTATGTACCAGTAATAGCCACGTTAATATTGTGGGCAGTGTTTCCCATCGTGGATGGGTCGTTTAGAGAATATAGGTTACCATTTTCCGCTTGGTATCCTTACAACACCAAAGTGTCGCCCTTCTACGAATTAACATACGTTTACCAAATTGTTAGCGTCTGGTTTCTGTCTATTACCAATGTTAATATGGATACGCTAATAGCGGCACTAATGATGTATATTGGTACTCAGTGTGACATTTTGTCTGACGATGTGAAAAATTTGGGTAGTCGTGGAGAGCTGGAGTTTAACACGAAGTTGTTGAAGTGCATAGACCATCACAGAAATATCATTAGGTAAAAAGGGTAATTAACGTGGTTAGGGTTCTATAAGAAGTTTTGCAGCTTTGCCGGAGATTGTAACAAATTCTTTGACAAAATAGCACTTGGGCAATTTTTTACGAGCTCGCTTTCGTTAGCTTTGGCTATGTTTCAACTGACTGTGGTAAGTTTATTATAATTCTGTGGTCAGTTTTGACGCTTATAAAAAATAGGTTGAGCCTTTCGGCAGTGAGTTTTATTCTCTTCTATTCTACGTGTTTTCCATGACGGTGCAAATTTCTCTTTACTGCTGGTTTGGAAATGAAGTGGAAATTAAGGTAAGCAATAGTGGATAAATGTAATAATAAATAGTTTGAAAATCTAAATTTAAGAAAAACAAGAATTTGCTTTTTTGCCGTATAAGATTTAAGATATCATTTTCGTTTCGATGTTAATAATAATATGGCGATTTATCTAAAATTTGTTGTTTTTGTTTGTGTAAATAAATAATATTCATTTTTGTAATAAGTGACTGAAGTGTGGCTTTTTTTCTCACAAATGGCCTGAGTGACAACGCAAAATTTCAGCGATGACATGTTTCCAAAATCGACCGAAATTACATCTGAAAGCTAGTTATTTTTTTTTTTAAATGTCATATTTGTACCTCTCATAGCTTCATGTACAAACGTAGAGTTGTCTCAAATAGTTTAAAATATGTTTATACATATTTCAAAGTAATGAGTGGTATTTTTTTTTTATTTTGACCGCCTATTGATAATACCATAACACTACCATGAAGACCTTGGAAATTTTTTAACATTTAAAGAAATTGCTACATTTCTTTGGTTCGTTTTAAATACACCGCCCCACAAAAAAACCCGGACACTTGAATTTTTCTAAATTTACGCTAATGTTTAGTGTTACAACTTTTTTTTTTACTTTTTTTTGTTTCCACATGTTCTAGAATAAATTTGTTTTCTATTAATGACTACATTCATGATTTGCTTTTTGGAATATTTTTTTAAAAAATTTGATAAGTTGCAGGTAATCAAAAAAATTCAAATGTCCGAGTTTTTTGCCGAGTGTATGATGAAGGATTGTACAACAACATTTAAACCTCGGTCTACATGAAAAAAAATTCGAAGTCTGCTATAAAAAATATTAAGTATATTTATTCTATTTTGTCAATTTAAACTGACTTCATTAACTCCATAGTAACTTTCACAAGGAGTTCATGATTCACTAGTAAAACCAAAGCGTTTGAATTCACAAGTGAAATCAAAGCGTTTAGTGAATTAAAAAATTTCAATTAAGAACAGGCTTTTATTTCTTTTACAAAAATATTAACATTAAATTAGTTTTTGTTGTCGATGAATGGGCAAAATAATGTCTTGATGATTAATTTCTTGTTTTGACACAGAATTTGACGCAAAGGAGTCTGCTGCTGGATTCAGGGCAGATCTATTACTAATGACTGTTGATAATAATTGCTCAATGATTCTTGACGAAATTTCTATTTTATTACTCAGAGAATCCTCTATGTATTATCTAGTCTGGTATTAGAGTTGCACTCGAACGCCTAAAACTGTAACCCGTGTATGCTTCTAGATTTTGAAGGCTTAGAAATTGTGCATTTTTTCTGGGAATTATTGAAAAAGTGTTCACTTCTACAGGTTGTACCGTGCATTTTTTGTGTTCTTGTAATTGATGGAAAATCGTTTGTGTGAAATCGTTTCAGACCTTAATATTCTGTATTTCCGAAAAACGTCAATAGCAGGAACAGAGTTACTTCCGCTAATGATGATAAATTCACCAATTCTACATCCTCCAAAAACTCCCACGATAAAAATTACTTTTTGTAGTAAATATTCGTCATCAGAAGCATTATCTAAGAACCTCTCCATTTCTTCGAGTGTGAATACTTTGGAATTCTTTAATCTGTGCCCTACCGACTGTTATTTAGGAAAGCTGACAGTTGATCAAATCTATAACAATGAATAGTTTAAACCTCATAAATCATTATTTCGATGTCAAAAACCTCCTTATATCAATATTTTCCTTCATAGATAAAATTTTCTTCATTTGGGCATACTACGAACTTAGTGGCGACGATTTAGTATTTTTAGACCGTTCCGAAATATAAGACACAATTATTCTTTCGTCTACTCTTTTTGCATGCTTTTGCTTCCACCATTCACAAAAATTCATATATCCTTTTTCATATGAATGCTTGGATTTTGCTGGCACTGTTTTATTGACAGCTTTCAAAGCTTTGTCCAGGACTGCTGAGGGTACAAAAACTTCGTTTTTGTGTTTATCTCGCAGAAACACAAATGCCGCAAGTATTACGAGTTTAGAAAAATGTAAATAACTGGTTGTTAAGCTGGTTGTCACAGAAATTAATTTCGTAGTCTACACAATATCTTGGTTGGCATTATTATTATGAATCGAATTTTTATTAATACTGATTGTATATATACATACTTCTATCATGTGCTGATGCTAAAATGTAGATGCTTGAAACAATATAAGTACCTACTTCATAGCATATACTTATTTTAATTCATATTACCCATTATTTGAACTTCGATTTCACCTCTTACTTTAATATCAAGGGTCGCAACTCTTCGTTGTGTTTAAAGTAAGTTTGCAACAATATTTGAACGATTTATCGTGTGTGTTGGGCGGATTAAACCGGGTGTTCTTGATTCTCTAATTAGATAAATGTGATTTATTTTTTATCTAGGGACACATAAATTTGAATCTACATACAAAGTTTTCTTTCTTCGTGATTTTACAGTAAAGTCATAAAGAGGAAAACTGTAGAGAAGCTACTCAGGACCAATCTTACATTTTCTTCATTTAGTTTTTAAATAAAGACGAAATAAAATTTAAGAACTTCTCTCGTTCGAGAGGGGTAAATAACAGCCCCTCAGCTCCTGCACTGCGAGGGCTAAATTCACCTGGAAAATTGACGATTAAAAAAAGAATAATTTCACAAAAATTCTCACATAACGTAAAATGTTAGAAATATTTGTTCGACTACAACACTTTATCGATGCTCATTAACACTCCACGAAACTTGTTTTAAATCATTTTCTGTAATAAAATACAAACAATGTCTTGCTTTTAACCCTATAATTATCCTTCCATTTTCAAACAAACCATAACTCTCTAGGCGTCCATTTTGTCGTGAGAATCAGTCAGATGGAGATTTTTTTAAATGAGACTAAAACTGCTTATTATCGTTTAATTCCCGCAAGACTCACCCATCTTACGGCGAAAACAATTACCCAACAAGACAGACAGAACATAAATAATGAAAAACCATAATTATAAGAAATGAAAAATTTTATCGTCTGGTTTACAGTATTAATAAAATATTATCGTAACTTTCTTAGTTTATTAAAGCCATGAATCGAAAAGGCATTCAGTGGTAAAAGAAGTGTCATCGTGTAGACAGTTCTTAAAACAATGGATAAATTTAACTGGAAATTCACTATCCGTTTTAATATGCTTATTTTGAAAATTGCGGGTCTGTGGCCTAAAGGCAACGAAGTTTACAAATTCAATCGGTACACCATATATTCGATCTTCGCTTTAAATTTATTTATCAATGGACACAATTTTTTCCAAGCAGCCAACATTCTCTTCGTCTACACCGATTTAACAGCACTAACTGCCATAATTTTTGTGACTGTCACTGATTTACTAGCGTCGGTTAAAGTTTACTACTTTGTCAGTAACATTGGAATTTTAAAAAAGTTGATGGTGACACTGGATGGGCAATTATTTCAACCCAGAACGTTAGAACAAAGAAGTTTGGTGCAACCAGGATTGGACTCGTGGAAATTCACTTACGTTGCCTTTTGCGTACCGGTAATAACCACGTTAATATTGTGGGCAGTGTTTCCAATCATGGATGGGTCGTTTAGAGAATATAGGTTACCATTTTCGGCTTGGTATCCTTATAACACCAAAGTGTCTCCGTTGTACGAATTAACATACGTTTACCAAATTGTTAGCATCTGGTTTCTGGCTCTAACCAACGTTAATATGGATACATTGATAGCGGCGCTAATGATGTACGTTGGTACTCAGTGTGACATTTTGTCCGACGATGTGAGAAATTTGGGTAGTCGTGGAGTGATGGAGTTTAACACGAAGTTGTTGAATTGTATAGACCATCACAGAAATATCCTTAGGTAAAAAAATTCATTAACGTCGTTACGTTGTCGATAAGAAGTTTTGCAGCTTTGCGGGAAATTGCAACAAATTTTTTGACAAAATAGCACTTGGCCAGTTTTTTACGAGCTCGCTTTCGTTAGCTTTGGCTATGTTTCAACTGACTGTGGTAAGCTTGTTATAATTCTATGGCCAGTTTTGAAGCTTATATAAAAAATAGGTTGAGCCTTTGAGCAGTGAGTTTTATTCTCTCCTATTCTACGTGTTTTCTATGACGGTCCAAATTTCTCTTTACTGCTGGTTTGGAAACGAAGTGGAAATTAAGGTAAGGAATAGTGGATAAATATAACAATAAAAATGTCATTTTAGTTTCGATGTATATAATACGTCAATTTATTTAGAATTTTGTGTTACGGTCTTTTAAATAAATAATATTCCTATTCGTTTTTATAATGAGCGATTGAAGTGTAACTTTTTTTCGAAAAACCCTGAGTGACAGGTCAAAATTTCAGCGATGTGATGTTCCCAAAATCGGTAGAACTGACATCTGTAAAACAATATATTTTTTTTTAAAAGCGTCATATTTGTACCTTTCATAGTTTCATGAACAAACATCTCAAACAGTTAAAATATGTTTACATTAATTTGAAAGCAGTCGGTGGTATATTTTTTTTTGATCGCTTACTAATACTGAATTTTTTAATTTTTAAAATATTAAAAAAAAATACATTTCTTTCCTTCGTTTTAAATATTAGAGAGATTGAAAAATAAGTTTTACAACTGAGTCTACGTGAAAAGAAGTCTGGTATAAAAAATAATAAATATATTAAAAAACAACAACAATATAAAAATATTACGTTATATTAGAACAGAACATTAATTTAAGGTTGAATCTATAGCGTTATATGTATTTTAGGATTCATTGACTGCCGTCTATAAACTGAAGTTTATTTCATCTGAGTTCGAAACGTGTTTCTAAAAACGTAAAAATGTTTTTACAAGTATTTCAGGTAACATTTTCTTAGAATAGATACAACATCTGACGTAAGTTTTAGCTCACTGGAAAACAACAAGCTAAATCCTTTTTCACATTAAATTAAGAGCAGTTAAAAATTATGCTTATGTTGTTATTTATATTTAATTTCCTTTAATATTTTCATTTATTTAATTATAATAATTTTCAATATACAAAGTGAGTCACTAAGCGCACGGTCTTCGACATCTTATTAATTATATTAGAGACAGAAAAAAATTCAAGACCAAAGTTGTATGGTTATTTGAGGACTATACTACTATACAGAGTGCTCTGTTTTACAATGATTGACCACAGTTTACTTTTGAAAGGCCAATGCGACGTTGCCACGTTATTCTAATTTTCTTGGAATTTTTTGGCAATTGGGGGGTTCACAACGAAATTGCAGTAAGGCTATTTTTTAAAGTCTGTCTTACATGATTTAGTGGAGAGGTACAAAAAGGTAGGCATTTTGTTGGGGTGGCAAATAAATTCAATTTCAATAATATGCAGAGTGTTTATAAAAAATCTAAAACTTTTCAATTTTCAAATATCGTTATTTCAGTTTTTTCCTGTATTTTATTATTGGATTGTACTCTATTTTTTGTTTTCATTCTTCTAAAATGTCGATGTGTCTTTTAAAAAAATAAAAAACTGAGTAACTATCAACTTTGAATATAAAAAATACTAAGCAAAGAAAAATAACCAAAAATGGAATAAGATGCAGTAATAAAACATAGGTGTTTAGTTTGGAAAAACTGTAATATCGACATTGAAAACTTAATCTTAATTAAATTTAATCTCAGTTAGACCACAAGTGCGAACTTTTCTTTGTCTTTACACTAAATTTTGTAACACAAATTTCAAAAATAACTCTTCTGTGATTTTTCATGAACCCTTCCATTGCTAAAAAAAAATTCAAGAAATTGGAATAACGTGGCAACGTCGAATTGTAACTTCAAAATAAACTGTAGTTGTCATATGAAGATATACAGGGAGTTAATTTTTTTTTCGGATGATCGGTTTCGTACAATATCCTTGCTGTAATTATCTTCAAAAATTTTTACTGAAAAAAGTGCTAAAAGAGGTAAAACTTAAAAGCCGATTTCTAAAGTTTCTTTTAAAATGGTTACTTGAATACACAAGGAGAAAAGCCACTTTTTCTCTTGTGTGTAAAATGCTTCAAAAATATTAAATTAAAAAATAAATAAAAATTAGCTACTTGGACTATACGTTTATTTACAAAAGAATATATTTTGCTTTTCGTGATTGGCAGCTCTAATAGTACTACAAACTACTGACGTAACAATAGGGTGATTCGAAATAGGCGCATTAAATCAACTGTACATAATTAAATTCCCTGAATTAGATTAAAAAAGGTAAAAACACTAGGCATGAATTAAGATATGGTTAAATGTCTAGATTTGGGTCCATTTTTTAAATCATTGTTTCTTTGCTCATAAACCGTCATATTGTTACTGGACCATCATTGAACCACCCCGTATACACAGAAATTGAAATAGAGCTCCATTTGCTTCTGCATTTTATTATTTTTTGGTTGGATTTTAATCCTCTTGAAATTTTCTTCAATACTTTTTTGTTCTTAAATATCTTATATGCCAAAAGTGCACCTGCTTCTTAAAAAATCTATTGACTAAAGCTAAAACAAATAAATTTATTTTAATCTTCAATACTTTCTGATATGATTTGCTGTTAGAGTTAGTTCATAAGGAATTTTGTAAATTATTTCTGTCATATGTTTTCATTTATTAGTTTTTTCATGAGAAAATTACTTACTTTTTGTCAATTTCTGAAAATCCATGAATCACGTTAAGATCTTTTCATCAAGCCACGAAAAGTGTAACAGGGCCATTTTGACTTATCTTTCGTTATGTTTTCTTGGCGTTTCACAGATTTATACGATAAGAAAATATCGACCTCGTGTTTCCGTCTGTCTGTCATCTGTAAAACTTCCCCTCTGCTGCGAGGTGTCAAATAATCTCTGGAATTGAAGACCAGTTGTTCTAAAATTTCATCAGTGTTATAACAAAAATGTAAATCAAAGAACAAATATTTAATTATTAATAATAATAGACGTACAATTTTTTCCACAGTTCCTCAGAACCTTAACAATTTATTAGAGAACGTAATATTTCATTCAAATTATCCACACAACAAACTATAATTTTAGGATAAATTTTGTACCAGCAAGTTCTTCATTCATTAATAGTTAAACATAAATGGCAAGCGAATGCCTCGATTAATGTTTTTAATAGTAGATCAATACTAAAATGTATCAAGACTTGTGATTAGAGATATGTACTTGACTTTATGTTAAATATATACTGCAGGATTTAACATTAAGTGAAGGATAGGTTTTTATTTTAAATTGCAGTGAGGTTTAATAACGATAAATGTCAGTTGATGCAGTCTGTTCAGATGCAATATTTCTTTTGTGGTGATAAGAAGTGGAGTTTAATATAAAAAAAATCTAAATTTTGTTAATTTCGAAAGTTTGTAATCAAATATAAGTGCAATCTTAAAACGATTATTTTAGGTGTGCTTTAAAATTATAGTGACTGCCAACTAAAATTTTAGTTTTCTAAACTCCTTGAACGTCACATTATCGACAGAGACACACATCAAAATTATTAGATACATATCCTTACCAAAAATTACTCATTACCTTTTCTTTAGTTGTTCTTCACAAACCACAGTGAAGAATAAATGTATATCTAACTATTTATTAAATATCTACTAATTTTCTTGATTTGGATGAAACTTTGTGAGCACCGTCGTGTAACGTTCATCCAAGAGCCTCCACACAACTAAATAATTTATTGTCCTCAAATAAAATCACCATTTGAGTTTAAAACTCGTGTTTATGTGGCGCATTAATTATTACTTACTTTTAGTTCATCAGAAATACGTTGAAATTTTACTAGATACAGGAAACCATTTTTTTAATTAAAACTATGTTATTAATTTACAAGAAGCCGCTTATTATCCGCTGCTGCTGCCTTTCGTGAGACAAACAATCATCAATAATGAAAAAGTACACCAATTATCTCAAACGAAAAATTATTTTTTCAGTCCGAAGCATTAATAAAAGATCAGTTCTTTTAATAAATTCGGTAGATAGGGTGAATCAAAGTCAGTAAAGAGCGTGCAACCCATAGCAGTAAGTAGACAAAAATGGCAAAATTTGACTGGGAGTTAACAATAAAGGCAAATATCGTATCCATGAAGTTGCTAGGACTCTGGCCTAAAAGTGTTAAAGGATATAGGCGAGATTTGTATTCAGTATATTCATTATTGTCTTTAAACCTACTGATCAACGGCCACGTCTTCTTTCAAACACTGAACATCTTTTTCGTTTACACCGACATAGCAGCTGTGACAGCCATAATATTTGTCATATTAACGGAAATACTAACCGCCGTTAAGGTCTATTATTTTGTACGCAACATGAAGCAATTGAAACAAATAATGGAAACGTTAAAAGAAGAATCTTTTTTACCGGACACGCAACAGAAGATTTTAGTTCAACCGGGCTTAAACTTGTGGAAATTCACATACATAGTGTACCATTTTCCCGTTCTTCCTACTTTAACAGCGTGGGCTATTTATCCCATCACAGATGGTTCGGTCCAAGAATACAGATTACCATTTTCGGCCTGGTATCCTTTTAATACCAAAATTTCGCCCTATTATGAACTCACATACGTATACCAAATTGTGAGCGTCTGGTTTCTTGCAATCGCCTGTTTAAATATGGACACTCTAGTGGCAGCACTGATGATGTATGTCAGCAGACAGTGCGAAATTTTGTGTGATCGTGTGAAAAATTTGGGCAGCGAAGGTGTCGATAAATATGGCCAACGTCTACTAGAATGTATAATCCACCATAAAAAAATCCTGAGGTATTTATTTAAATAAAAGTTGCAAAATGATGCGAAATATTTTCGTTACAGCTTTTCTACTGACTGTAACAAATTTTTCGACAAAATTGTTCTTGGGCAATTTATCACGAGCGCGTTGACTTTGGCACTCACCATGTTTCAGCTTACTTTGGTAAATCTGCTTATAATGTGTAATGAACTGTGTAATTTAAGTAAAATTAAAATTAGGTGGCACCACTTAGTAGCGAAAGCTATTCTCTGCTCTTCTACTCGTTTTCAATGACGACTGAAATTTTTCTGTATTGTTGGTTTGGAAATGAAGTTGAGCTTAAGGTGAGTAAAATTTTCAATTTTCTCGGAATTTCTGGCTTCGTAAAATGTGTTCGGAGCTAAAAAATAATTATAAATAAAGACTAGCTACACTTAAAGTGCCCGTCAGTGCTGCGGCAATTTTAATTTCTATATAATTGTTTTTACTATAATTTTGTTATTTTATCATGTGTTAGAATGTTGAATTATTTTTTTTATATTTTCTAGCATTTTTACAATAATAGTCATATGTCGTTGTTTAAAATCTAGGCATTCAGTAGTGTATATTATAACCCAATGCGAGATAAACAATTTAATATCTTTGTTATGGATATAACCATTTTTTTAAACCAGAATTTTAAGAAAGTTAGTTCAACCATTTATGAGTCAAATGTAAATGTGACAAAGTAAAAACGATATTTTTTTCGACTGTCCATTCGCTCTATTACTTTTTTAAGAACTTTTCCAAAAAAGCAGAAGAAAAAATTTTTAGTTATATAATTTTATTTTATGACGTCATCAGCTTTAGGAAGTGATGAAAAAAAAATCCTTTTTTTCACTAGCAGCCAGGACGCATGCAAATGTCGACTCATTTAGTGGTAGCAAATTCAACTTTTGCGACCACCGGTTCAAAAAGAAAAATTGAGGTTATGTACGCAATGTTTGATGTGATTATTTCTTAAAAAATGAACAAATGTGTGCTACAAACATTACTTGAGTATACGCATGGTAGTTGGTAGACGGTAGAAGATAAAATGATTAACTCAGCGACAAGTATAAACGGTTTTCTTTGTGTTGAAGATTTAGATTAAGTTTGATTAGAAATCAAAACAAAATCATGTTGCGTCAAAAAATTGAACGTTTATTTTTTCAGTTTATTGTCTTATGGTTTCTACTAGTGAAAAAAATAGTATATTAACCACGGTTGCAAAGCCACTTCTAGACCTCGCGCTTCAGAGCCCTCGACGCTGCGCGTCTCGGGTTCTAATTTGCGCTCGGTCTAGAATGCTTGGCTCTGCAACCTTGGCTAATAATATACTATTTTGGAATAGTTCAATCAAATATGGCATTTTTTCATCATGCTCCGAAACCATAAACACGTTATATTTTTCGAATCTGTACGTAAAGACCTCTATCCCATAATTTTTTGTGCATTTGTAGACAACCCAATATTTCAGTCTTCCCACTTATAAGTTCTCACATTTTTTCAACCACCTTCGAAAATTACCGAAAAAGATTTTTGTGTAGATTTAGAAGTCATGTTAGACATTATTTCTTCGAAAACTCTGCCCATTTATTTAGAATCGACCAATGCCAATTGTCCAGGTATGGCAATTTTGAGGATTAAAAAAAAATTGATTTTCAAGCCGAATATTTCCAAAATCCTTGCCCCAGGACCATAGAGACCTTATATTTTTCGAAATAGATCGTCGAGATCTATGTCACGGAATTTTTTGTGAAGTTTTACACAACTTTTTCAAAAGTTCAATTTTCAATACCGTCGATCTCTAGTTTAGCTATGGTCTAATTTCTTCGAAAATTCTTGCCATTTTTCCAGAATTGCTAAATGAAATGTGGTAGTTTTTAGGATAAAAAAAGATGCATTTAAAACTGAATATTTACAAAATTTTATGTCAGCACGTTAAACATAGATTTTTGTGTAGTTTTTTAGAGAATTTTCTGAAAAGCTCGGTTTTTTTCAATATCTTTCGATTTTTTGTATCATCTTTGAAAATTATCTAAAAAGATTACAAGTATTTTTGTAGATTTCTATCTCCAACTGTTATTTTCGGCGTCATTTTTTTTCGAAAACTCTTTTCGTAATTCCAGAATCGCCAGGAAATTAAGAAAAAAAAAAGATTTTCAGATGGAATTTTTCTTGTTTCACGACCACAATCACGTTATATTTTACGAATTAGTAGTGGTAGAATAGATTTGTAGGCCAGATTTTTTTTGGATTCTGGGACAACTTATCAAAATTTCGATCGTCTTTCGACCACCTTCGAAAATAACCTAAACAAATTTTTTTGTTGAGTTCGAAGTTCAGAACTTATTTCTGAATTATTTCTTTGAAAACTCTTAATTTTTGTCACAATTGCTCAAATATAGCAATTTTTAGGATTTCCAAAAATTGACTTCCTAAAATTTTGAGTTAAATCAATTTATGTTCCAGAGTTTTTTTTTTTTTAGTTTTTCGACCATTTTCAAAACTTAACTGAAGATTTGTTTTTGTAAATTATGATCGTCAGAAATTATTTTCGCTCTCATCTCTTCCAGAACTGTTACTATTTCAATTAATATAAATGAAAAAAAAAAAATAAAAAAATAAAATCAGTAAATTTTTAGGGCTAAAAAAAAGATTTTCATTTTGTAACTTCGAAATTGCGTTTGCCTTACACGTAAATTATGATGAAAATGCTGTAAAGTTCTTCTGCAATTGATTGGAGAATGACTTTTTTATATTTTGTCGACATTTTGTAGCTGCTAGAATAAAAGAGTGGGTGTCCCGTTTCCGTCTGTCTGTTTTTTATCATTTATATACCTATGTTGTAGCACTGGACTGGTCCTTATTTTTTAAAGTGTTTTTTGTTATGCTTTTCAAGGTCCAAATACAGTTCATATCGTTATTTAGCCAAATTTCACTAGTTCAAAACCAGAACTATAGGATCAATAAAATAAGTCAAATTTTTTTAAGTGTAAAGTCTTCCCGTACTCGTACAAAACTAATTTTTAGGGTGTTTTTTTTAGATTTTTTTATTGTTATTAAATCTAATCGCACAGTTGTTTTGAATAATCTACACAAAAGTTGTTAAAACGAACCGAAATATTAACCTACCTTGTCATAAATCTTGTAGGGAGCAAAGTTATTAATATAAATTACAGTGAATATTATGTATATCCATTTATATAATAATTATACAATTTTTTTATGTACATAACGACACAATGTGGTTTAAAATCACTGTTTATGACTAGTGCGTCTATTCCAGTTTTGAGGACGTTGAAACTTCACTAAAATAAAAAGTTATAAAAAGCACATTTACACAAAAACTACGCTCTATAATTAACATTTCAAATTATAAGTAAATTGCTAGCCTTACCTAGACTTTCAAATTAAAATTTTATCACTATAAAGTTAAGTTTTTCCTGTTACTCCCTTTTCGATGGAACGATTTAAATAACAGATTAATTGAATAGAACGTCCTAAACTAATTCCACTGTTGAGGACGGTAATTAGCCGAAACGAAAATTTACTGTTCTGAACTTATTAATAAAATATTTCATTTTTACCAATATATTTGGAAGAATGACAACGAGCTTGTTAGTAATCAATTACCAAACTGAATTTAAAGCCACTCCTTACACATCAAATGGAATCCTTCAAGTGGAAGGTTGCCATTAAACCCAACATTTGTGTGTTAAAAGTCGCAGGATTATGGCCAAAAAAGAACGAAACTTATAAATGTGATTTATACACAGTGTACTCTTTTATAATATTAAATCTGTTCCTACACATCCCCAACATTTTTCAAATGGCAAACGTTTACTTCGTCTACAAGGACCTGGAAGCCGTAGCTGCGATAATTTTTGTCATAATAACTGAAATACTAGCATCCGTGAAAACGTGTTATTTTGTCTCCAATATGGCACAACTGAAAAACATCATGGCGAGTCTAGAAGACAAAATATTGTGGCCGAAAAACTCTCAACAACGGAAGTTAATCGAACCAGGTGTGAATTTTTGGAAATTCACCTACAGAGGGTTTTATTTTCCTGTTATATTTAATTTGCTTATGTGGGCTGTTTATCCAATTATGGACGGTTCGGCGCATGAAAGTAAATTACCGTTCTCGGCTTGGTATCCCTTCAGTACGAAAAATTCACCAAGCTACGAAATCACCTACTTCTACCAAATAATAGGTATTTCGGTCCTTGCAATAACTAATTTGAACATGGACACTTTTGTGGCGGCATTGATGATGTATGTTGGTAGTCAGTGTGAAATTCTGTGCGATAGTTTGAAAAATTGTGGAAGAAGTGGTACTAAAAATTATAACACTAATTTGATCGAATGTGTGAATCATCATAGAAAAATCATTAGGTAATAACAACAAGTAAATATATAATTTTAGGTTTTAACATTGCAGTTTTCAGTTTCGCTGAAAATTGTAACAAGTTTTTTGACAAGATAGTTCTGGGACAATTTTTTACCAGTGCTATGGTCTTAGGGTTTTCTATGTTTCAATTAACTTTGGTAAGTTCACATCCACAATAAAAATTTGGAAATTAATGAAATAATTGTAGGTTGCTCCTTTAAGCAGCGAAAGTTTCTCTCTTTTATTTTATTCGAGTGCAATGACGATGGAAATTTTCTTATACTGTTGGTTTGGGAATGAAGTTGAAATTAAGGTAAGCGTTGATATAAGAATCCTAGAATTAGTGGATAGTCTGACAACTTGCGTGAATTTTTTCAATGTTGCGTCCATAGTAAAAGTAAAACCAATACTACAGTAAATTTTTGTAAGAAAACAATATTACAACTATAACTAATGCGAAGAATGCTATTATGAAATTGTCCTGTCGAGACCTAGCCGAATGCACCGAATGTCTTTGTAAATAAAGTTATATACAGACTTGCTATTTAAGAATAAAATACTTTTCTAGAATTTACCTGTATTAATTTGGAGTAATTAATAACAACTAAATTTTGTTATCAAATCTTAAATTTTTTCAACCTTTTAGTTTTTTCGTATTATGTCTTAATAAGGTCCTTCATTCTGCAATTTTCGGTTTTAAAAACAACGTTAATTAATTTTTAATAGTGTCATGAGCAAGACGAACAAAGAATCCTCATTCGAAAACTTATATTTTGACAAACCAAAAAATTTGCTTCGGAAAAGTGTCCTTTTGTGGTTAAACAGCAAATAATTTTAGAGAATTTGAAATAATTTCTTTTGAAATCGTTGAATCTTCAAGATTGATGAACGCAAAAAAAAGAAAAAACTTTTTTGAAGTACAGTAACATTGCATGAAATACTATATCACAGAGTTGTGTTATTTTATAAAATTTAAATATGTAGTATTTACTATGCAAAATTTTGGCGTGACGTCATCAAATTATTGGTGGCGATGACCAGACAAATTTCGGTTTTACCATTTTTCACGATATTCGTAAAATAATTTGACAATATACTACCGTAGATTATTTGTCTAATAAAAATCGGCGCAGACGACAGAAAAGCGGAAATGGAGAACCTACTTTTTCATACTCTAGGGGTAATGGAACGTCGAGAAGATATTAAAATAGCCATTCGTGTGATGGACCCTGTTCCAATAATTACTTAATATAACACAATTAAAATTTCAAAGACATTAGTTTGGTAATTTCAGCGAATATGTGTTGAATCAGAAAATTACGTAAGAAAAAAAAATGTTTGACTATTTTTTCGTACTATAGACTTTTCAACAATAAAATACTTAAAATACTAAATGGCCAATTTGAGGTTAGAATTGTGTCCAGCGTCACCAGTGTAGCCATATCTACCGGTTTACGCTACAAATTTACAGTAAACTCAAGTTTTGAATACTAAAATTTTCATTTTTGTATAGTTTTTTTTTCTTTCGAACTACTTTTGCTTTTGAGGGAATAAGAATATCCATTCCCTAATTTTTCTCAAGATAAATAGTTTATATTGTGCAGTATGATCATACCTCAAACATTTGGACTTTTGCAGTTGCGCTTCGCCCTCCGATCTCACAATAAATAAAAAATTCATCACAATTGAGATCGGGGCGGGTGGGTGGGGCGTAATTTTTGACTTTTCTTTTTCTTAATATGTGTAGGTTTTTTTAACAACACGATACTCAAAACATGTTTCACATGATAATTCATTGGGTGGAGCTTACCCTTTGACTTTCTTTTCTTATTTATATATATATATATATATTTATAAATGATACTTTGTGGAGCCCACTATATTCACAGGTCGTTCATGAGCCCGGCATTTACAGGACAGATAGAAGAATATATAAAAGAAAATTATGTTTTAGATACCATTATGTACAATAGGTGCTAAAGAGGGGTAAAGTTTTATACTACTTAACTTTTATCATATATTTATCTCTCGTTGTAAAGCCCCTTATAAGAACGCAACGTTGTGTAGCCCATTTTTATACCAAATGATATTTTGCGGACGTTGTACATCCCGGCATTGTTGCCGACTGTTACAGTTTTTGTGGTAACTTTACAAGTGTGTGCTCTTGGATTTCATACGATGCAATCGACAGTCTGCGTAGTCGGCAGTATACAGAATTTACTCAAACAAAATGAATCAAAATTGTGCAAGAGGAAAACACTTGTTAGATTTAGCGCTTTCTAATAAAGGTAAGATTCTTGAAATAAGTGATGGTGCTGTAGTTAAAGGTGTATCATTTAAACGTTAGGATACTTTCAAGATGAAGATAATGAAGTAACTTCGTCAACAAAATATGACTTAAGGCCTACAAAGCAGGTTAGTAAACACATTTTCTGCATAACTTTTAATTCGCTTAATTTGTTTTCTTGGAATCTAAATGGTAGGTTATGTATTGCAAAATATTAATATTAAAATATTACGAAGTAAAAAACGCACGTAACATCCATTTTCAGTATTTCCGGTTATCAGAGTTTTGCCACATTCTTTTTTAGTAAATGCATATAAAACAATAAATATTTATAACATAAAAATGTAGAATTTAAATTTAAAATCTTTCAAGTCTAGACAATGCCACCGTGGTTGGCGAAATGCGTCGACGGTAATAAGCATTATATTGAGATTTAATTTTGCAGCAAGTGATCGAAGAAGATTCATAGTTTTAATAGCAAAATTTGATAAAGGTAATAACACATATAAATTTCACTTTGAATTTAATAACTTTACAGATTAATATGGAAAGTACTCACTTACTTATTATGTTAAAAAAAAATTTCAATAAATTAAAAGTAATAAAAAAATCAAAACTAAATGTTGTATATAAGTTTGGTGGTTTATACATCAAATAATAAAAACAAATATTGGAAACAAAAGGATAAGAAATATGGATGAATTTTTTATAGGTTTCGTATACCTCAAAATATGCCAATAATGAAGGAAGTCACGAAGACTTTTCACCAGACTCAACTGATATTATTGAGTCGTCGGATATAGAAAACCAAGAAGATTTTTCACCTGGCTCAGATGATATAATTAAATCGTCAGACTTAGAATCATCAGATACTTCAGAGGTAAAATAGTCAATTAACCATACTAACATCGATAATAGTTTCCCTTCCAAATCAAAAATAAATTAACAAAAATTCAGAAAGTTCAGCTCAATTTTGGAAAACGTAAGTTCAAAAATTTCAGAAAAACTACTTGTAAAGAACGATCATCAAAAATTGCATTGAAATTGTTGAATTCTGTATAGTTTTGTTAGTTTTTTACTATACACTCTTAATTATTTTAAACGCAAAGACAGATTTCTTTATTTTGAAAATAACTTTATAAAGGTAAGCTGTTGTGGTGTTTTTTTTTTAATAGAGCTGGTACACTTTCATTTGTACCTAACCGTCAGTAATTCTTGTAAACAACTAAAAACTGCAACCCTCGTACAGTCTTTAATTTTTCATTTTAGGAAAATTTACAGAAACTTTTCATTTTTTATATTTAAAAAGTGAAAAATTTAGCATAATAAAGCAAACAGTTAATAAAACCACCACACCAACCAGTGTTAATAACAAAACTCGTTTATTCAAAGAAACATTTTTCTCAATGTATTGCATTCAAAAATTTCTAAAAAAAATTCACTTCAACATTTCACCAGTACTTACGTATGTTTACAAATCGATATTCAAAATTGTATCTTTAAAATGAGTTTTCGCGTTTAAAAAAGAAAACTAATTCTTTCCTCTATTCCTAATTCCTAATATTTCGGTCACACTATTTTTGCAGTTTGTTAATTTTTAATGCACGATTTTCAAAATGGTAGTGAACCATTTTTAATTATTTCTGTTAATACATAGAAAAGTTGAAAAACTAATTGTGAATTATTATTTTAAGTCTTGCTCTGAAAGTACTATGAACAATGAATCCGATGAAAAGTGTCCCTCAAAAAATGATCGGTGTGAATCAAGCATGTCTACTGAAATTCCTACAGTAAGTGGGGTATGTGTAGGTACAGGCGCGACCGTTGAAAAGTGCTACACTTTGACCTGTCTATATTGTTGTCTTTGTTACCTTCTCTCAATTTGAATTTTCTAAAAAAGGTCACTTCAAATCTTACTGAAATAATGCGGTTCAGTGTTAAGAGATATATAAAATTTTACATCAAGAAAAATTAATCGTTTATTGTAGCAGTCATACGCATACGCCAAAATTGAGTGCGGTAATTTTCAACAGCAGCGACTGTACGCAGATATATATGTCAGCATTTAGGTAAAATCTGTGGGATTTTTTTTAATGTTAGCCAAATTTTTAGATATCAGTTGAACTAGAACAACCCGAAAATGACCACTATACATATGTTGAGCCGAATGACGTAGGATTACATGTTCAAACAGAAAAGGTTTGTTTATTGAGTAAATATAAAATTAAAAAAAAAAAAACTACACTACTTAGATTATTATGAAACATTAGAAAGACTTTACATTATTGGTCTAGTAGCGATTTATTCCTAAAATCCTTAATTCATTTTGCCTTTCAAAATCACTTTTCGACTAATTTTTGAGTCCTATAATTCTTATAATGTTTACATGGACATTTTTAACTTATCCTATACAGAAAATCTTATTTATTTGTTATTAAACGTTTTAAAATGAGATAAAGTTTAGTTATAATGCTGAGTTGAAAGAAAGCCAAGTTCAGTATAATTAATAACATTTAACAAATCACTAAATAAACGCAGCTGATAAAATGTCAAAACGTATTGCTGTTCCTAGTTAAATCTTACTATATTTTGAGTAATACATATATTTATATTGTACCTATACTTTAAGTCTACGTTAACAGTAGACTACAAACAATGGTTAACATATGCGTGCTCTTCAAACTTAAAAACTGACATTAAAAGAAAGTCAATACAAATTTTTGTTTTTTTTTTTTAGATTTCTACGTCAAATTTCGATGAAAAGCAACAAGCAAAAGAAACATGCAGCAGCAAAAACATTGATCCCATTATAGCGAAATTTGGTCACATAGTGAAAGTAAACGTTGTTTTCATTTATAGACAGTGGAAAACTTTTATTTTGTAGGAACGGGAAGTTGTAGAATGTGCTGAAAGCAGTAGGCCATGGACAAAGAAGAATACATGCCCATACTGTTTTAAAGAAGTAACACATTTTCCTAGACACTTGATAAGAAACCACAAGGAACAAGGCGCAGTTAAAGAATTTGCAGCCATGTCAGTTAAAGATCCAAAAAAAAAAAGTTATAATAAATGCGATACGCAGGCAAGGAAATTTCTGTTTAAGTTCACAAATGAACGTCATTCGTCCCATAAGAAGACCAACTAGAACTTCCACAGAACATCCAGTGGAAAACAAAAATACGTACGTGACATGCAAGGATTGTTTCGGATTTTTTAAAAGGGAATTTCTAAGAAGGCACAGAAAACGGTGTAAATTACGCTCTGATGTAAGTGACTCAACTGAACGTGAAAAACATCTCAGTGAAGCACAATTATTTGTTGTATGCACAGGACCTCGCAATGAATTCTATGATTCATTGCGTTTAAAAACTGAAGTTTTTAAGATCATGAGAGCAGACAGTGTGTCGAAGGTTGCTATGGGCGATGTTCTAATTTGCAGCTTCGCTGAAAGTCTATTGAGGAAACATAAACGCACTCAAATCCGAAATGCCATTTCAAACAAAATGCGTGAACTGGGCAGACTTCTAATAACGCTGACAAATATGAATGGAGCTGTACGGCTAATTGATATGTTAAAACCAGAATTTTTTGATAATATAGTATCAGCTACCAGAGTAATTAGCGGCTACAATCCGGAAACTAGGACTTTCAAGGCTAGTAGTTTAGCTCTACATATGGGCACTACTCTTAAACAGGTGTGTGATATAGCGACAAAAATGATTATTAAAAGAAGTCGCTTTCTTCAAATTGATAATCCAGAAATTATGCTAAAAAATATAAAATGGCTTAAGAAATTAATACAAGATCACTGGAATTCTGAAGTTTCTAGTTTAGCGCTGAAAAATTTAAATGAAAATAATTGGCAAAAGCCAAAAATGCTACCGTTAACAAGTGATATTATGCAGTTTAAACAGTTCGTACTGCAAGAAGCAACAAAAGCCTGCAATGATATTAAAAGCGATGTACAATTTAAGAAAGCATATCGGAGATTAGCGGAAACGGTTTTAGCATTAACATTATTACTGAACAGGAAACGTATTGGGGAAATTCAGTATTTAAAGGTGCAAACTTACACTAGAGAAATTCCAACTTTACAACAAGAAGAATTTTCGCAAACCCTATCAGAGACTGAAAAAATTCTTACTAAAAACTTTAAAAGAGTCATAACGGCAGGGAAAGGAAGCAAGCCCGTTCCTATTTTATTTCCTAAAACTATACAAAATTTTATTGACGTAATGTTGAACGCTCGGCCTAGGTGTGTGGCAAAAAGTAATGAATATTTATTTGCAAATCCTGCTACTGATAATAAGTGGTTAAGTGGTTACCATGTTTTAAAAAAGTTGGCTACTCAATCGGGCGTAAAAAATCAAGACTTATTTAGTTCAACAAGATTAAGAAAACAAATAGCCACAGTACTGCAGGTAATGAATGTCACAGAATCAGAAATGGAGCAGTTTGCATCTTTCATGGGACATACAAAAAAAACTCATGAATCGTACTATAGGTAATGTTAGCAGGTGCACAAAAATCAAAATATTAAATTTACAATATTCTTATCGTAGACTACCTCAAGATGTTTATCAGACTGCGAAAGTATCAAAACTCCTGTTGGCCATAGATAAAGGAAAAAGTGCCGAATATAAAGGCAAGAAACTAGAGGAAATAGATTTCTCGGACGAGATTGCTTCTGATTCCGAAACAGAACAAGAATTAGTACTTTCTCATAGGATTAGTCAACCGTCCACTAGTAGGACTGACTACACCTCTGAAGGTGAAAATGTAAACATAACCAGTACTACATCCAACATTCTTAAAGATTATAGCGATAGTGATTCAGAATATACTGAATCAGTTCAAGGTAACAAAACAATATTACATTACTCTAAAAAAAGTATGTGCATTATAATATTCATATTATTGTATCATTTCTACCATTAATACTTGATAGTTTAAAATTTGTTAGGACTGGCATTGACTTATGATAAAATTTTCTAAAATTTATAAAAAAATTAATGTCTCTTAATAATAGTATAACATTTTCACGATCAGGAGCACTTGCTGTAAAATTTCTCCATTTTGTTCCATAATCTACATGTTTTTATTTGTTATTTTACAGAAACTACCCCAAAGAAGAACAAGAAGCTTAAAATTGAACGTGTAAGGTGGACAGATGAACAAAAAGACAAAATTTTGAATTTCTTCAAAAACCATATTAAAAACAAAAAAGCGCCCAAGAAACATGAAGTTATGGATTTGATAAACAAACATAAAGAATTATTCCAGAACAAAAACTGGGTTAAAGTAAAAGCATTCGTTTACAATTCTTACAAAACCAAATAAAATAAATCGCACTATTTCTTTATAATAATTCTATTAATCTTTAAGTATAGTTTTTTTGTGGGATTTTTGTATTGCATTATTTATTTTATTCCAGATGAAAGAAGTACTGTTCTTTTATGTTTCGTTTTTAATAAAGAAATTGAATCTTTTAAGTTTGTTTTCCTTTATTTGCAACAAAATTGATATCTTCTTCTTTGGCCATTTTAAATATATGTATTTAAAAACGGCATTAAACAAACTGTTTGTTGAAGTAGAATTGGCATTTCTTCCATGTATATTTTCAGAACGCTAACTGATTCATTTCAAATTCAAAGTAAGTTTTTGTTATAGCAACAAATTATAGGTTTTAGAGTTTGCCAGAGAAAAATGCAATATTATCAACAAGTGATGTAATGTAACTATGGATACTACTAATACATCTAATACGACAATACGAATTTTTAGGCTAAATCAGTTGTCAATTTGGATTCATCTTATTCTTACTTTTATGTAAAAGCTGCTACTATAAGATAAAACTTCGTATATCATACGTGAGTGAAATGCCATTATAAGCTCGTGAGAGCAGTATCACTCGCTTAAAATATAGCATTTCTTTCCCTTACCTATAACATAAAATACTATTAAATGTAAAGGAACTTTGGGATTCATTACGAAACTGGCCGTAATAGCTATAAAATAAAACCTCTCTAGTTCCGGACTGAATTTTACAAAAAATCTTCTGAGCAACTCGTCAGGAAAGATTATATCAATATTGTAAAAACAATATACCTAATTGTAATCGGTCTGTTTCTTTCACTGTATAATATGTTTAAACACTTAATTCAGGGAGAATAGAACCAGCTTCTTCTTTGGTTATCGTCATTGAATTTTTGTCATGCGTGATATAAGTACAAAATATTTTTTAAAACGGACAAATATTTTACATAATCAATAATAACATCTTCAAAATGTTAACAATCTAATTTTTCGCTACTCCATAAATCACGTAAATTTTTGCATACATTGTGTTGGGGTTGGAGGGTTATTGATAAATTATTGATAATCAGAGCCAGTCTTCTACAAAAAACAGTTTATTTAACAAAAACGGAATTCGGTGTTGCTTCTACAGAGTTTCGTACAAGCACATGTACAAGTTAATCTAATAAAGGGACAGGGACAGACAGACTGATCTCCTTAAACTAGGAAAGAGAGTAGTAGTAGTAGTAAAGTTGCATTTTTTCTCAGTCTTGCACATCAAGCAGTGGTAAGACGTTGAGAGCATTCCATACGACTCGCCAAAAATGTTTGATTCATGTAGAATTGCTATAATGAATCTAAACAATGAGCGACACATTTTTGCAAATGTTTTAGGTAACAACTATAGTGCCCATTCTTGGTTAGACAAAAAAGCCAAAACATAGAATCGGTTTAACATTACTAAATTTGGTTAATTTATTTTTTTTTATATTTTTTTTAACTATAAAAAGTATCACTATGTTTTCATTAACGAATTATTAACCGTCTTAAAATGTTTTCCAATTTAACGCACGTTTTCAAAATTTATTTTGTGTCGTGGATTGATAAAACATTTTCTTAGCAATATTTGTCAAAATTCACTACTTTTAATGACAACCTTTTTAACTTACAATATGGTTTTCTGCTAAAAAAGACAACATGGGTGAATTTGGTAAGGAGTAACAATTTGTGCCGTATTTGCAAAATTAAATATAAATATAATTTAGACATAATGTCAAATCCAATTAACACTATTCATTCAATAATTTTTGTAAAAATGCGATTATACGGAAAAAATTGTGCCTCACTCCTCGTAAAATGTTTTTATCACTCACTGGCCCGAATTCAGCAACCATTGTTAAATTTAGCAACCAGTGGTTAAATCTGTAAACAGGGTTGTCTAACTTTGACCTATTCAGCTGCCTTGTTTAGCGCTAAACAGGGCATTTTAGCGGCGGACGAACTGTCAATTTAGCAACGCTATTTAAACGCGGGTAGGGGCATGTTTACAGCCGTTGTTAGTGAAAATGGCGGGGTTCGCACGAGACATCGAAGACGTTGTTAATATTCGCGAAGGATTCGGTGTGAATGTTGAACATGTTCGACATGTGAGACCGCGCAAAGATCCGTTTGAGGAGTATAGTGATCGCGAATTTCGCAACCGTTATCGGTTGACGAAAGACGCTGTACACTTCGTGATTGATTTGGTGCGAGGAGATCTGGAACATCTTTCTGATCAAGCCTTGAACATTTCTCCAGCTCTCCAGGTACTGGTGACTTTGAGGTATTTTGCTAAAGGATGCTATCAAACAGAGCTAGGTAAGTTTAATTCAATATGTAACTAAAGTGTAAAAAGTGAAATTAACGTTATGTTTGTGAAAAAGTATTTTGTATTGCCCTTGATTTTGTGTCGCAGGTGATCTGCATGGGATTAGCCAACCGTCAGTGTCACGAATTGTACACCGGGTGTCACGAGCTATTGCAGGAGTGTTACCACGTTTTGTTCATTGGCCTCAGGATATAGAGAGGGTGAAACAGGATTTTTACGATGTGGCCCACTTTCCAAACATCGTTGGGTGTGTTGACTGCACACACATCAAGATTAAAAATCCGGATGGTTCTCGCCCTTTACTGTACTGTAACCGCAAGGGATTTTATTCGGTCAATGTACAAGTTGTGTGTGATGCTACCAGTCGCATTACACATATTGTCGCTCGATGGAGAGGCAGTGTTCATGACTCCAGAATCTGGAATAACTGCACCCTGAAGGATGACTTTGAGCACGGCAGAAAGACAGGCATTTTATTAGGTGACAGTGGATATGCATGCACACCATACATGCTCACGCCTCTTCTGAACACCCACAATGCAGCAGAAAGAAGAAGCATACAATAGAGCACACAAAGCCACACGTGTGACAGTGGAGTGCTGTTTTGGAAGATGGAAATCCATGTTTCGAGCTCTCCAGAACAACATGCAAGTGTCACTGGATACCGCAAAAGCCTGCATATCAGCCATAGCAGTGCTATACAACATCAAGCTCAGTTATGATGACAACTTTGAATATGATGGTAAGAATTTATTTAGTAAAAATAATATATTAATAAAAACACAAATGCAGATAATGAGGATATCGAAGATGAGGAGCCTGTAGAAGAGGAGGCGGTAGTAGCAGAACAAATGGCTGGAAATTTGTTCCGACAACAATTTATTCGCCAACATTTCCAACGTTAGATGTGATCTGCAGGTTTGTAAAATAGCAGTCTTATAGAAACACTTTATATATGCAAACAATTAATTAATTTAACAATACAATACTTTAACAAATAAGTTATAATTGTTCCTTTTGTTTGTTCAGCATATCTATTTTTAATTGTTTGGCTTTAAGTTTTAAATTTAAAAGGTCCAGTTCTTTAAAATAAATGGCTCTTTCCATTTCAATTTTTTGCTCTATATGTCGCTCATGCAACTTGAGCATGCTCTCCTCAAATTCACTCATCGGCTTTTTACGTTTGTTTCGTTTAGGGATGGCAGGAGCGACTGGTCTCACTGGTGTTGCAGACGGCGACAAGGAAGGTGTTTCTGCATGCAACGGTTCGGGAACACTAGAAACGTATTTTATGTTGTATTTTAAATTTTCAATATATAATTAATTACATACGTTTCTGTTATTTCAATTTCTCCCGTTATGGGATCTATTAGCCCCGTATATTCTTTGGGGGCATTGGCCATCTGAGCTCTGACAACTTCAGTGGCGGTCTTTCCCTCTGAATCATATGCAGATACATCTGCAGTAAAATCTACTGCAGATATATCTGCAATGATCCAGTCCAAATCTGTTGGATCTTCAGCAGAGGAAGGACCGCCACCGGTTTGATGTTGTGACCTTCGGTAGGCTGCAATTGTTGTTTTGGCATGCTGCTTTAACCGAAAGTACAGCATTTTCAATTTTGCTGGCTCTCTATACTGCCCCCGCGCCCTGAATTTTTCGGCCAATGCCTTCCACAGTTGTTGTTTCTTTATATTAATTCGCGGATCGCTTGCTTTCGATTCCAAAATTTCGGAATTGTCTGCCACAAATTGGACGAGGAACATCTTATCCTCCTCGGAAAAATTGCCCCCTCTGACGCGCTTATCCTTTTTTGCGGACATCTACGTCAAAAGCAATAAATACGAACGGGATAATAAACTGCCATATATGCTTACTTTTGTAATTATTGCTGTATTAAGTATAGAAAACAACAGAAAAATTAAATTGTCGTTTTTGCGGCAATTTCAAACTGTCAAATTTGACAAGATACGCGACGTTGCCAAGTTGTTTATACGGCGCTGGCATTGCTAGCTAACAACGATCCTAAAATGAGTGCTGAATAGGACCGTTGCTAAAACCGTATCTAAGCGTTAGCAGCGCTGTTAACTAAACACGGCTTAAACATGAAAATAAACATGGTTGCTGAATACGGGCCAATATGTTTTCATTAACGAATTATTAACCGTCTTAAAATGTTTTCCAATTTAACGCACGTTTTCAAAATTTATTTTGTGTCGTGGATTGATAAAACATTTTCTTAGCAATATTTGTCAAAATTCACTACTTTTAATGACAACCTTTTTAACTTACAATATGGTTTTCTGCTAAAAAAGACAACATGGGTGAATTTGGTAAGGAGTAACAATTTGTGCCGTATTTGCAAAATTAAATATAAATATAATTTAGACATAATGTCAAATCCAATTAACACTATTCATTCAATAATTTTTGTAAAAATGCGATTATACGGAAAAAATTGTGCCTCACTCCTCGTAAAATGTTTTTATCACTCACGAACGCTGTTATTCTCACCAAGAGTTTATTTTTGGGCCCCAAAATATCATTTGGGGACTAATTAGGTACACACACAACAACTATTGACCCATTTGGGCGATACATCAATTTATATTGAAAAAAATTACCTACCTATGTTATTTTTTATATTACCAATGTAAAATAGAAATCTATATAATTTATACTTCTATAGGATCAATTAAATTATAATTATTTAATAAGACACTATTTGTAGTATCGAAACATCGACAGTATTGAAAACCATCCGCTCGAGGCGTTCAAAAGCATTGTTGCCACATCTCGGGCTTAACGAAGTTACTTTCCTGTAATGGGCTTTACAGCAACTGCATACCTTAGATACGTATATAATTATATACACAAAGCGCCCCCTTACGGAGATCATGTTGAACTATTCCGTATGTTTCGGAACTGTATTCATGCTGTTATGAAGCCCACCGTAAAATTTAGCAATAAGCTTTTTGCGCATGTCCAAACCGTTCCCACCTTAAATACATGGGGATACGTTGTTGAGCCCGCGGGTGGGCTCAAGAACGTATTTTAAGGCTGAACAACGTACCGTTAATATCTAGAACGGGCTTCGTAATGACCATCTATACATCTATATATATATATATTAGGGTGATTCAAAAAAAAAAAATAATTTTTTTTTTCGTGTCAAAGAGGTTCAAAAGTTTCTTTTCAACGTAAAAAAATACCAGTTAAAAGTTGAGCTCTTAATATTAATATTAAGACCGTCCGCATCGCGTTTTTCTATTTCCCATAAGAATAACATGGGAAAATTTTTGTTTGCACCTTCTGATTTTTATTGCTAGCCCGTCGTGTGTCGTGAAAAAAATCCAATCACATATTTTTATAGAGAATTGAACGCTCTACAAAAAGTGTCTCCTATGATTTTGCGAGAAACCTGATAGTTGAAGAGTTATTTTAGGCTAAAGTTAAATTTATCCAAATTTTGACGTTTTTGATGCATTACAATAAATTTGATGGTCTTATTGGAATAAATCACCACAAAAATTTATACACATTTTAAATTTAGTTTTTTAAACAGTAATTGTTTATAATTTTATGCTATAATAAGGCCAGTAAAACTCTTTCCGAACATTTTCAGCATCAGTGGGTTAAAAAATCATAGTCAGGTTTCTCGCAAAATCATAGGAGACACTTTTTGTAGAGCGTTCAATTCTCTATAAAAATATGTGATTGAATTTTTTTCACGACACACGACGGGCTAGCAATAAAAATCAGAAGGTGCAAACAAAAATTTTCCCATGTTATTCTTATGGGAAATAGAAAAACGCGATGCGGACGGTCTTAATATTAATATTAAGAGCTCAACTTTTAACTGGTATTTTTTTACGTTGAAAAGAAACTTTTGAACCTCTTTGACACGAAAAAAAAAATATTTTTTTTTTTTGAATCACCCTAATATATATATATAGTTTCTTTCCACAATGAAATATTGAAAATATCAAATGGTGAATAACAGGCTAGAATTATGTTTTAAGTGTCCTGTGATTGAAAGAAAACTATAGGTCTATATTAAGAAAAAGAAACCAATTATGTATTAAGACCACCCACCCACCCCTTTCTCAATTGTGACGAATTTTTTACTCGTTGTCAGATAGTGGGGAGCAGTTTAATTGTAAAATCCATATTTCTCTACAAAAAATTACCATTTTGAACATGTTTTTCTTATTGTGAAAAGATGACTAATTAAGAAAAAAAAAAAAGAAACAAAATATAGACACATTCCACCCGCTCTACCAGAATTGTGATGATTACGAATTATCTTAAGTACTTATTTATTGTTTAGTATATCTAAGATATTTAAATGGTAATAGTAGAGACGTTTTAAAGATGAAGAAACAGATAAAATATTGACCAGAACTACAGATGTTATAAACATTTCTACTTGCTTTATTTCCATCTCTTTTTTCATGTTTTTTAATTTTTTATACTGAGCTTTCAAAAAAAAAACATTGAAATCACCGAATGCAAAATTGGCAAATTTCACTTTACGAAAACGTATAAATTCTAATTACAATAAATACGGTATGCTGGAAATGATTCGTTTTATTTACTTTATTTTACCAGAAAATGTTTTCCGTGAAATGGAAAATTTCTTTTAAACTTTTGACATTATTTTAAATTTCTCTGTTCATATCCCATTATAAATGATTTATTATATTTAGATCGGTTTCATTACATTATATTTTCTACACATAAATATGTTTTGTTCTACGAAAAGCGTCCGCAGATTAGCAATGAGAGGTTTTACTGCATAATTTTATTGTACTTACCTTGAACCAGTTTTTCTGTTTCACATAAACTGTTCCATAGTCTTTAATGTTGCTAGGATCTCTTTATCCTTATTTTTTTAGAATAAATTTATTTTCAAGCTGACGATGACGAAAACGTACACACAGAAGAATTTTTTCTCATTAATTGTTAAGACGTGTCATATTTTGAACAAAATGTAACCCGTGTACACTGAGTAAACACCAATATCTGGACATAACTCTGAAATACACTTGCTTAATAATGATTCGATAAACATGTATTCTTGCAGTTACATTGTTTATAATAAATTTTTTATTACCTAAAAACTTTAATTAAAATTGGTTTCTGGGCCTCAGTTCCTTAGACCCGCCCAAATGATTTTTTTAAATCCCACAAAAAATATTTTCCCCATTGATGCCATCATTAATATACAAGAAACTGCTTATTATCTCCAATTTTAATTGGTAAACTGCTGCTTGTCGTGGAATAAACTGCATTATTCGAAAAAGAAAATTCTTCCTTCAAGTATTAATAAAATATTACACTTTATATTATATTTGTTGCAACGCTAGCGACTCATTCAGTCAATGATCTGACAAAAGCGAGTGAACCTAAATTAAATTTGTGTAGTTCGGTATTTAACAACAAAATGGAAAAGTTTGATTGGAAATTAACAATAAAAGCGAACATTGCTTCTTTAAAAGTGTTAGGATTATGGCCAGAGGGTAACGAAGGTACAAGAAAACCGTACACCTTGTACGCTTTCATCTCTGAATCTGTTTGTCAATGGCCACAACTTCTTCCAAACAATGAATATTTTTTTCGTCTATACCGACCTCCAAGCTCTGACGGCCTTAGTATTTATAACAATCACCGACCTTATGGCACTGGTGAAAGTGTACTATTTTGTTCGTAACATGAAGCAACTCAAGAATTTGATGGTGACTTTAGATGAAAAATTATTTCAACCGAAACACCTCGATCAGAAATTTGTCTTCATCTCTGGGTTAAAGTTCTGGAAGTTCACCTACGTGTTTTATCATTTTCCCGTTGTCCCCACCGTGTCTGCCTGGGCTGTTTATCCCGTACTTGATGGCTCAGCGAAAGACTACAGACTGCCATTTTCGGCATGGTATCCTTACAACACGAAAATCTCTCCTTTTTACCAGATTACTTATATCTACCAAATTGTGTCTATTTGGTTTATGGCCTTTGCAGCCTTAAACATGGATACTTTAATGGCTGCACTCATGATGTTCGTTGGTGCCCAGTGTGACATTTTGGCAGATAACGTTAAAAATTTGGGTCACACAGAGTATAACACCAATTTATTAGAATGTGTGAAGCATCACAAAAAAATTCTAAGGTATTGTAATTTAGTTGGTATTTAGTGTTATAAGGAAACTTTTATTTCTAGTTTTGCTGCAGATTGTAACAAATTTTTCGATAAAATTGCTTTGGGTCAGTTTTTCACTAGTGCGCTTACTTTGGCTTTGACTATGTTTCAGTTAACTGTGGTAAGTGTTGTAAACGGGTTGTAAGATTTGGCAAATGACGTGAAATACCTGTAGGTTGCACCTTTGAGTAGTGAGTTCTATTCTCTGTTGTTCTACACGGGTGCGATGACCACTGAAATATTCCTGTACTGCTGGTTTGGAAATGAGGCAGAAATTAAGGTAAGCTGTATAAATTTGACAAAATTTAGTGTAGTCGGGAAACATCGCATTCTATGTAGTAATCGTCATTTAAAGAAGTTATGACACGTTTAGTCAAATGACATTTTTCTAATCTTATCGACTAATATACTATTTTAAAATACACTCATTTACAAAAATACGAAATATTTTGGAATTTTGGTAAATTTTTGAAATCAATCTGCACATTTGTGTACAAGATCTGAATTTATAGAACGAAATCATCGCTGAATTAGTTTTTCTATTATACGCCAACTTTTGTAAACATTATTTATTATTTTCAAGTGATATTATGAGTACGTATATTTATTATAAATATATTTTTTTCACTAGCAGCCTGGACGCATGCAAATGTCGACTCATTTAGTGGTAGCAAATTCAACTTTTGCTACCACCGGTTCAAAAAGAAAAACTGAGGTTATGTACGAAATGTTTGATGTGATTATTTCTTAAAAAATGAACAAATGTGTGCTACAAACATTACTTGAGTATACGCATGGTAGTTGGTAGATGGTACAAGATAGAATGATTAACTCAGCGACAAATATAAACGGTTTTCTTTGTGTTGAAGATTTAGATTAAGTTTGATTAGAAATCAAAACAAAATCATGTTGTGTCAACAAATTGAACGTTTATTTTTCAGTTTATTGTCTTATGGTTTCTACTAGTGAAAAAAATTGTATATTAACCACGGTTGCAAAGCCACTTCTAGACCTCGCACTTAGAGCCCTCGACGCTGCGCGTCTCGGGTTCTAATTTGCGCTCGGTCTGGAATGCTCCGCTCTGCAACCTTGGCTAATAATATACTATTTAAAACACGTATTATAATATTAATGGTATAAATTACATATGTTTCACCAAACATCTGTGTGACAATCAGTTTTAGTATTTGTGAAATTATTATTAAATTTTGTCGGTCGGTTTTGTGACTTTACAATATGAAAAATATACGTGTAAAGTTTGATATGCTGTGATAATTACTAAATTAGTGCTTTTCTTAAATTTCAGCGAAACCAGAACAGCTATTTTTGAGATAATCCAAAAACTATATTGGTTTTTGCATTATTTTTTTTAATGTTCCCAAAATGTAGGCAACACACACAATTCATGTCTTATTTTCTAATAACGCTATATCTAATAATTTTTTGAAATGACAAAAGTTTCGGAAAATTAGGCAAGTCGTGTTTTATTCAATCGATAAAATAAACTGCTTCGTATGTATATTGATTTTTAATAATTTTTTGTATAAAAACAAATTCTTAAAATGTTACTAAACAAGAAATAAAGGGGTACCTATGTCACATTACAAATTTCAAGAGAGATTTACTTAAAAGACTATGAAATGACGTTACCAAGTGTCCTAATTATCAATTCCCTCTGTTTATGGTAACCTTAAATTCTATGCAAAGTTTCACTGTAATCGGTTTGCGAAATATTTTCAAAATTAAAATGTAAAATTTTGTTGTACACTTTTTATTTTGTTTGAATCTGTAAACGTCTAAGACGAAAGTCTAAAGTTATGACTTGCATGACACACTGTATAGTGAAAATCAAGTGAGAACTGCACGCTTAAGTTACTCCACAATAGTAAATTTAATTAAATTATTATTATTTTTTTGCTGATGTGTACGACGTAACATTAATCATAACGGTATAGTTAGTATAGAATTTCAGGAAAAGGGGAACAACTATTCCTAAATCATAAATCTGTAGAAATTTGTACATTAGTTTTTGATTAACACTATGCAAAAAATAATTGTCATTAAGTCAGTATTGAAGAACAAATAAGCAAGCACCAAAACAACTATAAAAAACACGATCAAAGACATCTGTGGATTTTTGAAAAATTGTCTTTGATCATTAGAAAGACAATTCTAGAAAAACTCATTGCTGTAATTGATTATGTTTTTATCGCTCTCCCGGTCTAAAAAGGTAGTTGTTTGTAGTTAATGACAACTTAGTGGAAAAAAATAAACTAAAACTTGTCCTATCATCCCTGTCAAAATATGATAATGTCGTCCGAAAATTTCTAAAATTAATAAATTCTGTTTAAAATATCCAAAATCTTATGCTTTATATTTGTGATTTATTAGTCCGCCCCTATTTTGAACCTATTACATGTATATTAAAAAAAAATCACAATTTTACAGCCAATTTTATAACTCAATTTAGAAATAATATAATTGATTGCTCTAAAATCTTGTAGATGATTTAAAGTTTTTGTGTATCTTATTAGAATTTATCTATTCAGCACTTCTAAGAATTTGCTAAGTAAATCTTGCTTGAGATATATATTGTAATATACCGGATGTCTGGAAAATGGCGAATTAACTCTTCAGTACGTTATGTACAGGGGTTTCGGGAGTCCCAAAAATATAATAAAAATATTCTTTATGATGTAGATTACGAAAAAAAGGTAATTTTATCAAAGTAAAATTGGCAACACTGCACACACTTAATGCATGAATATTTATTACTTACTTACTTTCTGATTTGTTAGCAACGATGGTGATTGAAACCCACTTTTTATTTTTTTAGGACAATAACCATAACAACCAGTAGTCATTAACCGTTGTGCATTATTATTATTAATAAAGAAATTGTTATTTTTCAGTAATAAATAAACAAAAAAAAATTTTTAATAACACATTTATAAATTATAAACACAAACAAGAACATCAAAAGAAAAATCCATTAAAGCATATAAATAAACATTAGAGATGTTCAAAATTATTTACATATTTTATTAGTAATTTAGTAAAATTAATTTGATTAAATAAAAAACGATTTACTGAATTTGCGCGAAATTCTGAGTGCTGTTATTATAGTCGTGGAAATAAGTGATAATAAAAGTGGCAGATATAACTTTCAAAGACCTTCTCTCAAAATGTATTGGTATTTTCTACCTGACCCGTTTTTCGATACCGCTTTCCTCTTCATCAAATTAATACTTTTATGATAATTCTATAGCAGCCTTAAAAGTTAGGTCTACCAGTTTAAATTTTCGCGACTGTAAGTAATAGTATAATCGGGGAAGTAATTACTGCATTTACCAAATTTAATCCATTTGCTTCCAGTGAAAGGTTAATAATGTAACTACAGAGTTTATTAAAATAATGTTCAAAATCTACAACATAATAACCACTTCACCTATAAATTTGCTCGCTTATTCAGTCCAATAAACTGATGATGTCACGCGTCACTACTAAGAACATCCCACTCAAAATATGTAGCTTTAGATACTCCATTAAGCGAATTTTCAAATAAATTGTTAATATTCATTTTTAAAATTTGACTCAGAGATAAAATAAGGAACTTCTTAAAATTGAATCGGGACTGTAAAAAAAAACAATGAATTTTATTTACTTCTTCTAAAAAATTGATGACATTACCTGAAAGAAATGTAAAGCCTCTTTGAAGTACAGTGTGTCTTCTGCTGTGTCCATTAACTTTACAGTTTATTTTTTAAAATCACTTAACGCTTTCAAAACAGTTGCAAAAATTACACATCTTACCTGATGAAAATGTTTTTCTCTAGCTTTATTAAATCGACGGAAACTTATATTTCCAAAGTTGGAACTCCAACACAGCTGGAGGTAAAACTTTTCTTATTTACTGCTTAGTGGTGTCATATCTTGAACAAGTTGCACAAAACTTGTACCCAGCGCTTCTTAATACTTTGTCCACACACCACCACGTACACGTACCTCTGAAATAAACTTACGAATAATGACTCGATAGAAGATGAATTCCAGCAATTGCGTTATTTCTAATTAAAATTTTTAATACTTGAAGACTCTAATTAAAATTGCGTCCTGGGTCTTATTTCGTGAGAACCGCCCAGATGATTTTTTTTAAATTCAACAAATGATATTTTCCCCATTGACGCCATCATGAATTTACAAGAAACTACTTATTATCTCCGATTTAATTGGTAAACTGCTGCTTTTAGTGAAATACACTGCACATCAATAATGAAAGCAAGGAAATTATACGAAATAGAAAATTCTTACCTCAAGTATTAATAAAATATTGTACTTTATATTATATTTGCTGGAATGCCAGCGACTCATTCAGTTAATGACCCTCCGAAACCAAGTGAATCTAAATAAAATTGTATACTTAGTTCAGTATTAACAACAAAATGGATAAATTCGACTGGAAGTTGGTAATAAAAGCCAATATTGTTTCTTTAAAAGTGTTAGGATTATGGCCAGAGGGCAACGAAGATTACAAGAAAAATCTGTACACGTTGTACGCTTTTATCTCGCTGAATCTCTTCATCAACGGCCACAACTTTTTCCAAGCAATGAACATTTTCTTCGTTTACACCGATCTCGAAGCTCTGACGGCCATAATATTTATAACAATAACCGACGTTTTGGCTTCCATCAAAGTGTATTATTTTGTTCGCAATATGAAGCAGCTCAAGAACTTGATGGTGACTTTGGAGGAAAAATTATTTCAACCGAAACACTTCGATCAGAAATTTGTTTTCATGTCTGGGTTAAACTTCTGGAAGTTCACTTACGTCGTTTATCATTTTCCTGTTGTTCCCACTCTGTCCAGTTGGACTGTTTATCCTGTGGTTGATGGTTCGGCGAAAGATTACAGACTGCCGTTTTCGGCTTGGTATCCTTACAACACGAAAATTTCGCCTTTTTACCAGATAACGTATATCTATCAAGTTCTGTGTATTTGGTTTTTGGCGCTAGCTACTTTAAACATGGATACTCTGATAGCTGCACTGATGATGTTTGTTGGTGCCCAGTGTGACATTTTGGCAGATAATGTGAAAAATTTGGTCCACGCAGACTATGGCACCAATTTGTTAGAATGCATGCATCATCACAGAGAGATTTTAAGGTTGTTATTTGTCTGAAAATTATTGTTATAAATCAATTTTTATTTCTAGTTTTGCCGAAGATTGCAACAAATTTTTCGATAAAGTTGTTTTGGGCCAATTTTTTACGAGTGCACTTACTTTGGCTTTGACTATGTTTCAGTTAACTTTGGTAAGTTTGACAAGCCCGTAGTGTGATTTGGAGAAATAATATGAAAATACCTGTAGATTGCACCTTCAAGTAGTGAGTTCTATTCTTTGTTATTCTACACGACTTCGATGACAACGGAAATATTCCTATATTGCTGGTTTGGAAATGAGGTGGAAATTAAGGTAGGAGACATGTTTTTAATGAAATTGTAATATTTATTTTTGGTATTGGATTTATAGATTTAAAAAAACTCAACATTTCGTTAAAATCATTTCACGATAAAAATTTTACCAGTGTATTGTAATATATGTATTTTATTGGTTCAAAAAATCTCGGTTGTTAGTTTTTGTACCTTTGTATTATTATCTAATCGATTGCAGAAAATCAGTTACATAGGAAAAATTGAAAATATATAAAGTTTAGCCCTTAAGCAATTTTTTGATGAGGTTACCTATTTCCGTTATAAACAAGCATCGCGTTATATAACAAAAGTGTTGAGTAAGCTATTTATATTTTTGCTAATATTTGAATACTGTATCGATTATTTCTTCTTAGAAGAAAATATTATTTTTAAAATATTTTTGTAGCTATAAATTTGTTATTTATTTTTTGACATAACGACAAACAAATTTGTTTCAAAGTTATCTAAAACTCTTGCCAAGTAAGAGAAATATATATAATACTGAATTTAATAATCTCTGTCGTTATTCTGAGGAAAACAAACCGATATTTTTGTCAAAAATTGTATGATACTGTGCGCTAGTTTTTCCTAGTTTCTATATTAAGCAACATTTTATATATTTTTCTACATTCTGACGTACCTTTTGTTAGGCTTAATAACCATAGTTTAATTCCTAAATTCTGATGGGACGTTGCCAACTTGTTCCAATTTTCTAGATTTTTTTTGCAATAGGTAAATAGGTTCACAAAAAACCCAAAACAATAGGGTTATTTTTTAAATCTGACACATGCTTGTTTATACCAAACCGATTACATTGAGTTATCATCAAACATAGCCAATAACCATCCGATTAAACCAGCTTTCAAGATTCATCCGTTTGGGAGCCACAGTATTACAGACAGACACAGGCATCAAAGTTATAACACTCTTATTTTTCGTCGGCAGTTAAAAACGTATATTAATTAAACTCTAAAATTGTGTATCATTTCTAAAAAGTGAAAAATCTGGAATATTTGTTAAGTTCATGGTCGTTGGATGGTGGAAGCATTTGTGAACGCCCTGTATATTTTACAATGACGCTACATCTGAGAATTTTTTGAGCATAACATATTTTCTATGGAAGTTCAAAATGCTACATTCTACTGTCCAAGTTAAATTCGTTTTTGAAAACCTTAAAAAAATAAACCGACTTTTTGGAGGATTTTTCGTTTCTCTGTTAATTGTTCTTTAATTTTCGGAGCATAGTCTTCATAGACCGCAAATTGTGACTTGAAGAAATTTTTGAATATACAAATTTTGAAAAAGATCGTTAACATTTTTTTTCAAAATAAGTAGGTAAATTTTGTAGAGCTCAATAAAAATTATATTATATAATACGGGTTTGTCTATGTGTCTATGGGAATTAAAAAAAAATGTTTGTCTGATTATATTTTATTCCACAAGTCGGATAGGAAGTATCTAGTTATTAGTGGAAATTTTGACATTACCGAATTTTGGTTGAATAAATATCACTTTGATGATTTTTTTTTATTTTTGTTATAAAATAATATATTTCTGTGTCTGCCATTAATAAATCGGTTTTTATTTTTTTCCTTAGACATCCAGGTTTTTCTAAAAAAAAAAATCAAATTTGAATAACCTTTTACAATTTCACACAGAACTTGTAAAACCGAAAGTCCTGCAATTTTGCAAACGTTTTAACAAATAAATCGCTGATATTTTTTTTTTCCCTTTAAAAACATAATACGCTTCTCAAAATTTGCTGTATAAGTCCTGAAATATGTAAAATATTATGAGCCTACACTTGTGGTTTATCAAAAAATTCATATATTTTAAAAATGCTTATACAGGGTGATTCAAACAAATTAAGGAATGAATTAATTTATTTAACTGAATAAATTAAAAACAGCTTACCTCAATTTCCAGAAAATTGGGAATAGAGTACTGTTGCCATTAGTATTCCACGATATCCTGTCTAAGTTGAAAATACTTTCTAAAAAGTTGATGACGTCATCACAAAATTTTATTATAAGAAAATTAGTTTAGCAATCTACACATATCTTTATTTTAATTTATATCATAAAAAATAATCGAAAAATCAAATTTTATAATTTTTTTCAAACAACTGTTATTTGTTGTATATAGAAAATTAAAGATGTATGTCGAAATAACTTTAAACCAATTTATTTATAAATATATTTACATTTGTTAAAGACGCAGTTAGCAGCGATTATAACAATAAAAACATCGACAAGTTTGGTTTTTACAACATTTCGAAAACACTAACAACGTAATAACGATTTTTTTGACAACAATTTATGTTACGACCTTTGTGTATAACACTATAGAATTATTATTTGACTTACGTTATGTTGGGAGGAAGAGTAAAACTGTACTTACGGTTGGATATGTTACAGTAGTGTCTAACAGTAGTCAACTTTGCCAATACTACATTCAGTTCTAAATAAATATTTAAAGTCATGTAATTCTATTTATTACAAAAGATTAAAATAACACTTTACCAAATCTCAACTACTGTAAAAATTTATTATGTAACGACACAAGTTTACATCGGAAACGAAAATGACTTTATTCATGCATCTTTGTACGTAACTCTAAAAGCGTCACTGAAAGCTCTAACTTACTGAACGAAAGTGAACTTGTCCACATTTCGTGAGAATTAGTCAGATGTTTAGCAAGATTTTTTATTGTCTTCGTGATAACTAATTACGTGAGAATAGTAAAAGACATTAATAATGAAGCGCAGACTGCAATTATCTAAAATTACAAATTCCTTCCTGTGTATTCAGGCATTAATAAAAAATTACTCCTTGCTTTTAAATACCAATCTTAAGCTCAAAACCGCCCAGTGTAATTTAGTAATAACGAAAAAACGCGGTAATTATTATTCACCGTTGGAAGTTTTTGCCCGAGGAATTAATAAAATAATAAGCCCTAAGGTATTTAACCCATCGCGCACAAGCCATCCAGTTCAAAATCTTACTATCAGTGAATCGAAACAGTGCGGCTCTTCGTTTAAGAGAAAAATGCAGAGGTTTAACTGGAAATTGACGATAAAACCGAACATCGTTGCTTTAAGATTGTTAGGATTGTGGCCTGAAGGGAACGAAGGCTACAAAAAAGATCTGTATGCTGTATATGCGTTCACATTTCTAAATTTATTCATCAACTGCCACAATTTTTTCCAAGCAGTGAATATCTTCTTCGTGTACACCGATCTTGAAGCTTTGACCGCCATAATATTTGTAACTATCACCGACCTTCTAGCATCCATAAAAGTGTACTATTTTGTTCGCAACATTAAACAACTTAAGGCCCTTATGGCAGCTTTAGACACACAAGTATTTCAACCGAGAAGGTTAGATGAGGAGCACACATTCTATTATGGACCGAAGTTTTGGAGGTTTATCTATGTTGTGTATCATTTTCCTGTCATCCCGACTTTAACCGCCTGGACTATTTATCCTGTGATGGATGGTTCGGTCAAAGATTACCGGTTACCGTTTTCTGCATGGTATCCCTATAACAGTAGAATTTCGCCGTACTACGAAATTACTTATGGTTATCAAGTGCTGTGTATCTGGTTTTCGGCTTTTGCTGTTATTAACACGGATTCCATGATAACGGCGTTGATGATGTTTATTAGGGCTCAATGCGATATTTTGAACGACAGTGTGAAAAATTTGGGGAGTTTAAGTAGCGCAGATTATAATAGCAATCTGCTACAGTGTGTGCATCATCACAGGACTATTATCAGGTTTTTTTGATTCGTTATTCTGGTTGTACTTGACTAAAGTTTGTATTTTTGTAGTTTTGCAAAAGATTGCAACAAATTTTTCGATCGAATTGTTTTGGGGCAATTTTTCACCAGTGCGCTTGCTTTGGCTTTGACTATGTTTCAGTTAACAATAGTGAGTTTTTTGAGTATTGGTGGGTGTACTCACCAAAATTAATAAATTTTAGGTTGCACCACTCAGTAGTGAATTCTATTCACTTATATTCTACACGGGTTCCATGACAACCGAAATTTTTCTATACTGTTGGTTCGGAAATGAGGTGGAAATTAAGGTAAGCTGCATAATTTTGTCAAAATGTTATAGTGTGTCCATAATATACGGAAAAAAATCGACCGAGGCAACATTTTATCGCACGGTTTATAAAATATAAAAATTAAAAAAAAAACAAAATAATTTTACAAAATGTTTGTAATTATGATTTGCTTGTTCCTTTTCCACCCTCTAAAATTTTATATTAGCAAAAATAGTTCCTATGAAATTTGTTTATCCAAGATCCTATTCGTGAATATTTTGTCAGAGTTTATATTTTATGGGCATATTATATTGCTACTGCATTTTTCTCCACTTAAAAATAAAAATTTGTTAGCATTTTTGAGTTAAATAAAAATTGTTGTTAAACATGTTTCATTTTACTATGCACTAGAACACTTGGTGTTATAAAAATAATATTAAACTTGTATGTTACAAATTTGTTCACATCTTAAAAGACTAAAATTTGTAAGGTGGAATATTTTGGGAACAAGTGCGCTAAGGGTTTTCTTTTTGGAAGTTTATGGGAAACTGGTGCCAGTGAAAAACAAATTTCGAAAATTTTCGGTTAAATAAATCGATTGATACATGATATCTTCATAATTTTAAAAATTAAAAATGTTTTAAACAAACCTTGTAACAATGCAGAATGTATATATTCTTGACAAATATTTATTTTGCAATATTTAAAGGATGTGAATATTTTGCCAAAATAGTCTGGTGAGTTCCAATTATCTATTCTATATCATTCTAAAATCTAGAACCAAATTAGAAAAGTTGGTGGCCTCCAAAATTGATACATTCATTATCTGGAAAAATTGTTTTAAATTGCAAAAATTTATATTTGTTTGTTTCTGTTATAAGTGGCATTTGTCCTCCACTTCATATAAAAAATATAGATATGATGTTGTTTAAATTTCTTTTATTTTCTAAGGGGTAATTTCAAGTTGGATTTGCGAAATCGCAAGTGCCGTTGCTATGCTAATTTTGATGACAGTTGTTTCGATTCGCGATATGATTCGTTCTCGCGACTGCTGTCATCGCAACTTCCATGGCAACGAGGACTTGCGAAATTGTAAATCCAACTTGAAATTAGTCCGTAAAATATCCTAATATATTAAAATATACAATTTTTGTTACCAGGTTTTATTAAGTAAAAAACGGTTTAAGATTAATCTGTTAACAAATGGTTGATTTAACATTTAATTGTCATATATTTTATTAAGAATTTTTTATTTCCTGGGCGGCTATAAAATAAAATGCTCTTGTACTTGTGGTTTATGAATCCGCCTTAATTTTTGACACAATTATTTTGTACGAATTTGGTTGTGAAATATTTTCCACATTGGTTATGTAGCCCATATCTCTCTCATGTACAAAATACCCCATGGCCTACTTGGTTAAGGGCCACTGTCATACTGCTGCTCTGGCTGTGTGGGTTCGAATCCGATCCTTATCGGTCTTTTTTTTTACACTGTGATTGCTATGTTCTATATTTTTTTACTAACAGAGGTTACCATAACATAATAAAATTTTGCAAAATTAAATATAATTTTTCGAAAAATCTGGATTTGTTTGATTGTATTTGGGGATCGGGGAAATTCTACCTAAATAACTTCAAGCCAATGTTTTTAAACATGTTTTTCGACATTTACGTAGGAATAAACAAAGTGCTAATTTTTAATGACACGGCTTGTATATACTGCCGTTCTAATTTATTTTATGTATGGCATCGAGTATAATAGTTTTTTTTTAATTTTGTCGACACATTACTTTAGCTGTGTAATAACAATGTTTTCAATATCAAAAAAAAATAGTTTTGCGAGTTGAAAATACTGTGTACATTAAGGAAGATTTATTTATTAACTAACATAAAAATAAAGTGCTACAATAGTATATTAAAGAACGAGTTTCATAAGGCAAATATTGAGGCACGAATCCAAGTTTATAGAACGAGCGGCGAAGCCGCGAGTTATATAAAGGATGAGTGCCTCAATGGCGTTATGAACGAGTTATTTATACTATTTTTTCTACCGCACACGTTTTTTCCCAAAATTTAATTGAAATTTGCATTTTTTTTAATCTGGAGACTTTTGTCGTGGTTGGTGATGGGTCTGTCTGACACTAACCACGAAATATTTGAGGTTCTAATTTTCACAACAACAATTGTAATTCGAACCAATTCGAGTTTTTGTAATTTAATATTGGTTAAAATGTCTTGCGAAGAAGTTACGCGTCCGGAAACATGGGAAATTTTAAGTTTAGATTTGCCACTGACATTCACCTGACATTTCTCGTCATTGCTACCAATCTTACCGATCTAAATTACACCAGATCTATTAAAGAACGCCTTTCCGCTATTAACGAACTGCTGTGACGTCATTTGCGTGCGTTAATAGCTCTATTAGAAAACCAAAAAACGTGGGCGGTAGAAAAATAAATTAAATAAAATACAGAATTTTTTGTAAACGTCTTTGATTTTAGCCTAGAAGTGAAACTTTACATTCGTGTGTATTGTAGCACATATATATATATACAGGCTGAGTTATTAAGCGCGCGGTTCTGGATCTCATTTATTATTTTGACAACTGTCATTAGCCTCTTTTTAGTTTTATAACCACAGTTTACTTTTGGAATTGTGAGGCAACGTTGCCACGTTATCCCATTTTTTTTAATTTTTATGGAAATGAAAGGTTTCACAAAAAAAATCGCAGTAGGGTTAAACAAGTGTTAAAATTTGTGTTATCACATTTTGTGGTGGGACGAATGTAGGTACGTGCTTATAAAAAAAATCTGAAACTTTACAATTTTCAAGAATCGATATTTAAGTTTTTTCAAATAGGACCCTGCACTTACTACAATATCTTACTCTATTTTTTGTTCTCATTCTTCCAATATGTCGATGTGTCTCTTAAAAAAGTAAAAATCGCAGTAACTTTCACTTTTAAATACGGGCAATAAATACGTAACAAAAAAAGAGTGCGTCGACCCAGGGACGCATGGATGGAGTTTTAACTCTGGGTTGTCTGTCAATTTATATAAATTAAACACGTATACGCGGCGAAGTCATTAATTTTCTCTTAAAAAATAATAAAAACCAGAAATGTGTTGCGTATGTATTTTTTGACAAAATGATGATTAATGATTATGATGGGGTTAATTAAAGTAAATATCCATGTATTGTCAATTGTTGTTTATTATAAAATACCCTTTTTTTTTATTTATCATATAGAAATATCGAATTATTATAATAATATTGTATAACAATATAACGCGGAGTTACATGCCTATGTTCGGCCTCAGCTCAGACCGGTTTCGGTGTCGGTGTCGGTGTTGAACTCGACATCCTATTCCAGAAAGAAAGGATTTAAAACTCCAAAAAAGCGATATAACCAACGAAGAAAAGAATATAAGGATATTGCTTTCTTCTGGCAGAGTCTTCATTTCTTTTAATAAAAACACCGTTCTTAAATATTTTCAAAGGTAAATATCTATATCTTCGTTATCTCTAGTTTATTAGATATTTTAGGTGTATATGAACACTTTCATTTTTAAATTGTTGGTAGGACTGTAAACGTTTGCTGGTTCAAATTACACATTTTCTAGAGAAACGTTGTCCCGTTATCTTTTGTTTTTTTTTGTAGAAATTTTATTACACATATTTTCTGCCGCAGAATTCTGTTTTTATTTTAATACTTACATAATTTTAAAACTGTATATTTTAAATCAAACTTGAACAGAACGAAGAGCATTAGTCTTCTTGGTCTAAAATAAAATAAATCATGTAGACATGTAATACTTACTTATAATACTTTGGCCAGTTTCTTATTTTAAAAAGCATAAGGATTTTTGAAGCATAAAACCCTGAAAAACTTTTTCTATGCCTGAATGTTTGTTTCGTTGCATCAAGGTACTTAGAAGCTTCTATAAACTAATTTTTATTTTATTTTCTGCGCAGTACAGGCTATTTTATTTTTCTTTCCCTTCTGTATTAAATAAAATTTATTTTTCTTCATTTACAAAAATTTTCAGTAGTTCATCGGTTTCCGTTTTTCTCATTAATTCCACTTTTTTCCATATATTAGATATTTTCAAGGGCTCCAAGAATTTTTAATGGTTTTTTCTTTCTAAAAAATAGCTGCTGTAAATTATATTCACCTAGTTATTCAACCGAACTAATTTAATTAAAATTTCCTTGATATTCGACTAAACGTGACATTGAAAGGATCTGAAAAACTATATGGTTTTTTTACTCAAATAAACAAATAAAAAAAATTGTGTGCTGAATTTTAAAGTTTTTGACATTCATTCTAAGTCGCTTATACCTGATTTCTGAAGAATATATCACATTATAGCCATCATTTGAAAAGTTACAATATTGTAAAAGTTGTTGATCGACTTCAATTCAAAATATGTAACATTGATCAGTATATTATAGTAAAATTTTTAATTGCCATATTTTTAAAAAAATGACCAGTAATTTTTTACAAATTTATTTTTATGTCGCTATTTTATAAACTAAACTTCTTTTTTCTAACGGGTTAAACTTCAGTGTTCTTTATGATCCCTTTTCCCTGTTACTTAGGAATCTTACTGCAGCAGGTCTCGGTATTGACTTCAAAAAATTGAAATTGCAACGATTTCTAATAGTCCGTTTTAGTGCCATACATCGTTGGATTTAGGGAGGATTTAGGCATTTAATGTATTTTCAAAGTACACAAGTTACACAAAAAATTAAAACACTTCGGTGAACTTTCGGGAATCAAAATTAACCACAAACAGCGATATAAACTTCAATTATTCAGACTGAACATGAAAGTAATATGAAAGGTTTCCTCAAAGGCGTTCCTAGTTTTAATTACAGGTTTTTCCGCTTATTGAAAATTAATAAGTTTTGCGTTTCTGTTTCGTGAGAAACAGTCAGTTGGGCAATGTGTTTTTCAGTTAAAACCGAAAAAATATTAAATCTTCCACCGTAATTAACGTGAACGGCATATTATCTGCTTTTATATTTCATCTACAGGATAAGTAATTACCTGAAAATGCAACGACTATATTAATAATGTAGGATGAACCGCAATTAACCAACACTAAAAAATCCTCGTCTGACGTCCAACATTAATAAACAAATACCCTCGTCTTGTAACTTTCTTTTATAAGAAATCCTTCACTCGCGCCCTAAAGTTCGACTTGAGTACAGTTAGTATAAATATTGTTATGGATAAGTTTGACTGGAAACTGAAAATTCACATCAACATCCTCATCCTAAGACTGGTGGGATTATGGCCGAAAAACAACCTCTATAAATCGAATTTTTACACCCTCTACGCCTTCATTTCCATAAATTTGTTTATCAACGCTCACAACTTCTTCCAAGCAGCAAATATTTTGTTCGTTTACAAGGACTTGGCAGCGTTAACGGCTATAATATTTGTGACTTTTACCGACCTTCTGTCATCAGTTAAAGCATATTATTACGTACGGAATATGAATATACTCAGAAGACTCATGTCTGACTTAGAAGAAGAAATTTTTCAACCGAAGAGGGTCGAACAGCGACTTTTGGTGCAACAAGGTCTAGATCAGTGGAGACTAACCTACGTAGCGTTCTGGGTTCCAGTGGGCACAACGCTACTTCTGTGGGCAATTTTTCCTGTCATGGATGGGTCCTTTAAGGAATATCGGCTTCCATTTTCGGCTTGGTACCCCTACAACACCAAAGTTTCGCCGCTTTATGAAATTACCTACGTTTATCAAGTTATCAGTATCTGGTTCCTTGCCACTGCTAATTTAAACATGGACACTATGGTAGCGGCTTTGATGGCCTGTGTGGGTTGTCAGTGCGAAATTTTATGCGACAAAATGAAAAGATTATTTGGGTGTGATGCTGGAACAACGTTTGGTAGAGAGTTAGTTGATTGTATACGACATCACAAGAAAATTTTAAGGTAATTTGATTGATTCATTGTTGTGGTGTTAAGTTTGCTGAAAATTATTACTTTTTAGTTTTGCTGAAAACTGCAACACTTTTTTTGACAAAATTGTTTTGGGGCAGTTTTTTACCAGCTCGGTGTCGCTGGCTTTGGCCATGTTTCAACTGACGTTGGTATGTTTGGTAAAATTTTAACTCTCTTCGATAAAAAATTCTGTTAGGTCCAACCCTTAAGCAGCGAATTTTATTCCCTGTTGTTCTACGTTGGATCTATTTCGGTGCAAATTTTTCTTTATTGCTGGTTTGGTAATGAAGTTGAAGTAAAGGTAAGAGTATTGGTAGAAGTTTTATATCTTTCGGTTTTGAATTCTGGATACTGGTTATTGTGATAATGTGGTAATTAATAAGAATTATCGTAATACTTTGCAAATAAAATTATTATAAGCTACGAAACTTTTAATTTTATATTTAAGCTTACCAAAATGTTGACCTCCTGTTTCCGTTCGACTGTCGTTTTTCGGTCCGTCTTCTAATGGTTGGTCCAATGTGTTAGACACGTAATCTTTAAAACTAGTGAACCGATTGCTATGGAACTTTCGATGTTTATCATATAGATGCTAAGCACTAATCAAAATTCATTTGCTCTTCCCCACGAACAGTTTGTTGACGTAAGATGTCCACCAAGCTGTCACTTGGTAAATACCGCTTTAAAATATATTAAACATGCATCTATACTTGTGGTTTATTAATTTACACTTATTTTTATGGTTCGATATTTAAATTTATTTTTAAAAAATCGTATAATATACAAAATCCACTGCAGTGAAACCTCTAAACCAGTGGTTCGCAAACTTTTATTATTGATGGCACCCTAAAATATTAAACAAAATTTGGCGGCACCCCGCCAAGAACAGTTTTAATTGTAACTAATTTATTATCAAAAACACTTTATCACATGATTGTATAATATGTAATTGATGTTAAGATTGTTTTATAAATATTTGTTTTCCATAATTTAAGCTTGTCTTTTAAAGCCAAAATTTTATTTTTTCATTTCTACCTTGCATACTTGAATTTACATATTTTATTTAACTGTTCAAAAATAGTAGTTAAATATGCTAGTTTTGTACACCAAACGTGATCTTGAAGGAGGTCAAAAAATTGTTCAATATTTTCTGATTCAAAAAACGTTTATATTTGTTTTCTTAATTTTCAAAATCGGGAAAGAACACGGCCTTTAGATAGCCATCTTACTTCAGTATAAAGAAAATTAACATGTTCAGAACACATTTTCCATTACTGAACAGTTGTACCATATTAATAAAATCAGATCATCAATTATTATTTTTTAAAGTTGATTTTGTGGTTATATAATATACAGGGTGTCCCAGAATTCGCGCCATTCCCGTGAATGACATGTTCCCTGTCCCGAACTGTGCCGTAATTCGCAAAAAGAATTGTCCAGGCTTTAACCGTGTGAGAACTGGAAGGCGATTAAGTTGACCAATAGAGAGGCTGCTTTTATATCCGAACGTTTCTATGTTCAAAGTTACCTATGCCAAGAACAAAAAATCGGGTAATACTAAAGTTGAATGAATTTTTTTCGAATCCCCCTCCGTCAACAAAAGGAAACAGAAGTGTGGTTATAAATTTAATCATTTTGACAATTGTTTGTCATAAACTGTCACGAAGTTCATCACTGACCTGAAGAGATGCTTCTGCGCCAAAGATGACTGATTAATGTACACAGAGACGTCAAGGTTTACTTTAAGGCAAGTAGCATGGGACAGAAGTTATTTCTGCTGCCATTCTAGTTAAATTGTGTTTAACTGGGCTGTACATGTCATAAGAGAAGCTGTTTCATTTCGTCGTAGGCAAATAATACATTTATTACTATTCTACATAGTGTAGATACCGAAGAGCAGGCATTAGAAGTGATTTTCTTAGAGCCCCGTGAATAATGTGTTGTTCTTTTTAACGAAAATTAGTACATTTTCAGAATGCATCATATGCCTGATATTAAGTTTATCGTTATTTCTAAAAAAGAGTACCACATGTCCATTCAAAGAACGTTATTAAGTGTACTAAAACATAAATATTGCTTTCGATTAATCGGTGCTTATGATTTTCAATAAACAGTATCAATTTTTACTGAACAGCTTTGTTGTTGGTACCTAATCTAAGCAACGAAAAAAGAGACGAGACTCCACTTCTCTGGTGTATTAAGATCATAGGTATCTGCTGTGGTGTCAATCATGTGGGGAGATACTGAAAACTGAGACTTCTACAAGAATAATATTGATGTTGCACATGATGATTTAAAACAGTTTCTTTAAAGTTGTGAGTACTTTCTAGAGATTGAAAAGATACGAATAAAAATTATAACAAAAATCGTTTAGTTGTAATTTTTTTTAAGAACAATACAAACTATAAACAAATCAGTACCAATACCACTAAGTTATTGATGTTCATACTAGTATAAAGAATATTTGGAAATGATGTTAATTTATGGAGAATGTACACGCTATGCAGCCACTGCTGTGCGCGAATATACAGGTCTTTTCCCCAATCATCGGCTCCTTGACCAGCATGTGTTTCGTCGTTTGTTGCATCCAGCAAAAGAAGATGGATCTTTTCAGCCTATTCGGAAAGCCGTGCTGGGCTCCACGGATTATACGCATAGACGGTGAAGAACAAGTGGCACAAATGATTGGATGCTCAAGATCGATCATGCATCGTATCCTTACAGAGAAAAGTCTGCATCCTTACTATTGACGAAAGTGCAACATCTGCGACGAGCCGACTGCGCGACGAGTGCATGTTGCTAAATGGTTACTGCGACAAAATGAACTTAATCCTGATTTTTCACGGCACATTCTTTTCGCCGACGAATGTTGATTTTCCCGAAAAGGAATATTTAATGCGCACAATTGGCACTTCTGGGCAAACGAAAATCCACATTTCGCTAACGTGAGAGCATATCAAGAGCAATACTATTAATCTATGGGCTGGAATCGTTGTACTGTAACGTTATTAAACAATATGCTCAAAATGACCACCATTAACTTCAATGCAAGTTCTAGCTCGTCGAATTATGTTGTGTTGTGTATTATTTAACATCTCAGGAGTAACTGTAGCGTAGGCTTCGTGCAGTCTCTCTTCCAGTTCTTCTAACATATCTAGGGGTTCTCTATATACGTAATTTTTAATTTGATTCCAAAAAAAAAAAGTCCAAAGCAGAAAGGTCTGGACATCTAGGAGGCCAGATGTTAGTACTGCCACGCCCAATCCACCTATGACGATACTCTTTTCAATGTTCGTCGTACAAGTATCGAATTATGTGGAGGAGCGCCGTCGTGCTGAAACCACATATTCCGCCGTACATTCAAAGGAACGTCTTCCAACAATGCCGGAAGCTCTAGTCGTAGAAAATTAGCATATGCATCCCCATTAAGGCGATCAGGTAACACAAACGGCCCCACGTAAAAAAACAGGAACGGAGTTTAGTGATAATTTTATCAGATGCATTAAAATTTTTACCACAGTAGTACCAATGATTCCAGCCCATAGATTAATAGTAAATCGTTCCTGATATGCTCTCACTGTAGTGAGATGTGGATTTTCGTGTGCCCAGAAATGCCAATTGTGTGCATTAAACATTCCTTCTCGGGAAAATGAACATTCGTCCGTGAAAAGAATGCGCCGTGTAAAATCAGGATTTAGTTCATTTTGTCGCAGTAACCATTGAGCAAAATGTACTCGTCGCGGGTAGTCGGTTGGTCGCAGATGCTGCACTCTCGTGTAATGGTAAGGATGCAGTCTTCTCTCTTGAAGGATACGATGAGTGGTCGATCTTGAGCATCCACTCATTTGCGCTACGTAGAGGACACTTCTCCTAGGATCCGCTTCCATGTTTTCTAACACTTGCTCTTCAGCACCTACACGTACATTCCGTGGAGCCCCAGCACGGCCTTTCCGACTAGGTTGAAAAGATCCATCTTCTCTTGCTCGATGTAACAATCGGTGAAACACATGTTGGTCTGGGTGCCGACGATTATTCACGGGGCTCTAAGAAAATGACTTCTAATACCTGCTCTTCGGTAGCTACTCTATGTAGCATCGTAGGCAAATAAATGTATTATTTGCCTACGATGAAATGAAACAGCTTCTCTTATGACATGTACAGTCCAGTTAAACACAATTTAACTAGAATGGCAGCAGAAATAACTTCTGTCCCATGCTACTTGCCTTAAAGTAAATCTTGACGTCTCTGTGTACATTAATCAGTCATCTTTGGCGCAGAAGCGTCTCTTCAGGTCAGTGATGAACTTCGTGACAGTTTATGACAAACAATTGTCAAAATGATTAAATTTATAACCACACTTCTGCTTCCTTTTGTTGACGGAGGGGGATTCGGAAAAAATTCATTCAACTTTAGTATTACCCGATTTTTTGTTCTTGGCATAGGTAACTTTGAACATAGAAACGTTCGGATATAAAAGCAGCCTCTCTATTGGTCAACTTAATCGCCTTCCAGTTCTCACACGATTAAAGCCTGGACAATTCTTTTTGCGAATTACGGCACAGTTCGGGACAGGGAACATGTCATTCACGGGAATGGCGCGAATTCTGGGACACCCTGTATATATTAAAATCATTATAAAATTTTCACGGCACCCTCTTGGGGGTTCCGCGGCACCCCAGTGTGCCGCGGCACCCAGTTTGCGAACCACTGCTCTAAACGCTCACAACAAGATTGGTAACTCGTAAATCAAAATTTACCCGTTCACTTATCCTTTCTAAAAATTTGATGACGTTAATTCAAAATTTGGCGAAATAAATTCTATTTAAAATTTTTTAAATATTACTGGTCTATATTTGTTGTTTGAAATGCATCCGTATTTTGAACTTAATTTACAGTTGCGGCCGTCCAAAAGTGGACGATAATTTTCTCTATTGTAAATGTTTGTTTATTCAAAAATGCTACGCCACTGGTAATAGCAGCGAGACTTACATTCATTTAAAAAATTCAGAAAATTCCATGACAACGAAAAATTGTGCACTTTTGTGGGGCCGCAACTGTACGTGCAAATTTTTGGAAATAAATTCAAAATTATTCAACAATATTTTACGATTGGTTTTAAAGACTCTTAAAAAAGTCACTAACTTTGACTCCTGGGTGGTTTTCATTCCATTTTCAGAGTTAATATCGCCATTATTAACAGACTTATTGTTATGAGATTTTAAATAACAAATCTGCAAGTTTCTCTGTTGAACGCAAACCCTTTTTAACGTTTATTTGCCATCTTTTTTTTTAATTTTGTGAAATTTTTCGTAAAATATAAAAACAATCAATATCTCAATTACATAGGTATTTGTGGAAATTTTGAAATGCGGTTTTTACCACTGTTTTAAGCTTACAAATCTATAAAAACTACGGGATAAATATTTTGTTGGACAAAAAGTGGATAATGTCTCTCCTGTAGTTTCCAGAGATTTTTAAGTTGAAAACAGTGGTGAAAACCGCGCTCCGATACGTGATGAAAAATTTCACCAAAATTGCAGTAAACACAGAACGTTATCTACAGATTATATTTAAAATTTATTAACAAAGTGTCTGTTAATAATGGAACTAGGTTTGTTTGTCATTTTGATTAATACCAAGAATTTTTCTTTAACCGTGATCCAGGGAAACTATTTTTAACCTCTTTTTTAGTAGACGGTAAAATCAACACGAAGAACTACCTCTTACTTGCAAGTATATATATAAGTGATAAATAAATATTTAATGGGAGTTGTCTAACTGTATTTTTTCTATGACTGTGTGATTTTATTAACACAATGAATATATTTTAACGAAAGTAAGAAAAATAATATAAATGTATGAGAGTGAAATTTCAATATGTACATACTACAACAAAAAAATGGTCTCATGTTATTAGACAGAACTCAAACAAATCCGTTTTTTTTATAATATAGATAATACTAGTTACAGTGTAAAAAAAAAGTAGTCCATGAGGGAATCGACCTTTGGGTGATTAGCATAAGCACGTGGCTATTATTACTTTATTATTTTATTATTTTACAAGAACAAGTGATTGCAAAAATCATAAAATAAAAGCTGTACGGCGCGGCACAAGAACAAAAATAGAACAAAGTCAAAATCTCGGGTTATATCCCTGATAGATCAAATTTTCTTTTTTTTTTATTTTGAAAAGAACCTATTTAATTTCCTGAAATTCGTAGAAGCCAGTAATGCCACATTATTGTTCGCATTACATATTTCCTAAAATCCAAATTCAGTTTTAAATCCAATTTTTTCAAGTCTATGGTTACATTGAGTTCTTAATATATTATAATAGTTAGATAGTACTGGTATGAAAAATTAACAAAACATTTTTTCCTGAAAAATTACGCCTTTGCTGAGGTTTTTACAAAAAACTGAAGACACGAGTATTTTAAAAGTCTGTTTTTTCTAGCCTTCAGTATGTTGGTTTAAATACGTGTAAATAAAGTATCTTCAAGGTCTTGGAACTCGATCTAGACAACTTTAAGAACATTCACATTTACTGAAGAAATAGAAAATTATCCTATTAAGACCTCGTTGTTACCAGCCATATCATAAACTTGTTTTCTTTACTTCATTTTTCCATCATTTATTTCCTTTTAGGAGAAGCAGTTAACAAAAACTGACTTTCTTTTTAATTAAGAATTTTATAATTGTAATTTTAACTAGGAAAGTTCATTTTCTTCGAATCCTTTTTAGCTTATCTTGATCAAGTTTACTGACCAGTCCAAGTTTAGAGTGGCAGAATCTACTTAACATTAAAGTCTTCTTCAATCCTTGCGACATTTTTTTCCATCTGACCTGCACAAAAAATAAATACCAACTAGCATAACTATTTTTGTTAATAATAATTTATGTACAATTTTACAAGTGTTCACACGTGCTGTCGTAAAGTACAAAAACTCAATAAAACTTACTTATATTTTAAATATTATCTGTTCTTACAACACCAAACAGGAATGAATCAAATGCAAGCCTAAAAATATTATTCCTGCCCTAAAGAAAACTGAACCGCATTAATTACAGTTTCTTTTGATTTATTAAATTAATTAAGACTTGCATTCGTGTAGTTTGTGGGAAATAGTCAGGTGGTCAATAAAATTTTCTTCAAAATGAACAAATTATTAAATTGTCCGCCCTTACTTAGCGAAGACTGCTTATTAACTGTCTTTTATTTTCCTGATAAATAATTAGGTACACGGTAATGCAGTCCGTCTATTAACAATGGAGAAAATCTCATCAAACATTAATAAAAAATTACTACTCGTCCTTAAATCAACTAGTCTACTTGAGCAAGTCCCAGTTTAGTTTTAAGTTCCATACAAGTGGTTTTGGTCTTAGTACAAAAAATAATGGAGAAGTTTGACTGGAAAGTGTCAATCCGTGTTAACATTTTTATACTCAGATTTGCGGGTCTGTGGCCGAAAAATAACATTTACAAATACAACATTTACACCCTTTACTCTCTGGTTGCAATAAATGTCTTCATCAACGGTCACAACCTTTTTCAAGTGGCGAACATATTTTTCGTTTATAAGGACTTGGAAGCCTTAACGGCAATAATATTTATAACTTTCACCGAAATCTTGGCATCATTCAAAGCGTTCTGCTATGTACGTAATATGGGTATGCTTAGAAACTTGATGTCTGATCTACAAGAAAATATATTTCAACCTAGAAATGAAAGGCAGAGAATTTTAGTGCAACGTTGTTTTGACGAATGGAAATTCGCGTATGTGTCCTATTTTGTTCCTACTATCATAACGCTGGTTTTATGGGCAGCTTTCCCCATAATGGATGGGACGTTCAAGCAGTATCGGTTACCATTTTCGGCTTGGTACCCCTACGACACTCAAACTTCGCCACTTTATCAAATTACATACATTTATCAAGTTCTCGGCATCTGGTTTCTTGCTATCACTCATTTAAACATGGACAGTATGATAACAGCACTGATGAGTTGTGTGAAATGTCAGTGCGAAATTTTGTGTGATAACGTGAGAAATCTACGTAATTGTGAACGTGGAACTTATAGCGAGAAATTAGTTGGTTGTATACAACATCATCAGAAAATTTTAAGGTAACTTAAATTTGAAGTGTGTTTTGGGGGATTTCTAAACGTTGTTTTTAGTTTTGCTGATACTTGTAATAAATTTATCGACAAAGTGGTCTTGGGACAATTTTTTAACAGTTTGATGTCGTTGGCACTAGCAATGTTCGAATTAACGTTGGTATGTGGGATTAACTTGTCTGAACAACAGTATATCGAAATGTAATTGTGAATAGGTGCGGCCGTTGAGCAGCGAATTTTGTTCTTTCTTGTTCTTTGTGGGGTCGATTTTGATGCAAGTTTTTCAATTTTGCTGGTTTGGAAATGAAATTGGATTGAAGGTAAGAGCGACTATAATCTGGAATTAAAAATTCAGTATAAATTAAACTATATAACATAAATTTCGAACAAAAATATTTAAGCACAAATATATGATTCCGATCTTGCAACATTTATTATCATCTAATTAAAAATCACCAGATATTTATTATTATTACAACAAAAAAATTATATAACATGTTATTTGATAATACAACGTATGTATGATCAATGATCACCATTAGAAATAATTTTTCAAAAAAATATTCAGTTACTGAAATTTATACGGAAAAACTATTTATGAAAAATAGTTACTATCTCGGTATTCAAAAGTAAAATAAAAAAACATTATTTTCATTGAACTACTTATAAAGTACGACAGATTTCAATTTGTTTACAACATGAAACACATATTTTTTTTAAATAGAACACCCTATATATTTTTACATGTTCTCATTAACCTCTTTTTAGACTTTATAACCACCTGATGCGACGTTTTCACATTGTTCCATTTTTCCTGAAATTGTTTTGGCGATGCAAGGGTTCACAAAAATCGCAATATTATTTGTTATTTTTAAGATCTGTGTTGAGGTCCGTGCTTTGCTACGGTGTCAAATAAATCAAAATTTTCTAAACAGAGTGTTTATGAAATTAAGAATAATAAAATTTTCTTTTCGTTTATGTTTCTTTTTAAACAAATCAGGTGTAAAAGTTGATAATTTTTTATGAAAACAAATTATTTTTATCATCTATGTCTCCGGATTGAGATAATAACAGAAACATAAAATTATGTGATTTTCCAAAATAATGTCAAAGGAATAAAAATTAATAAATAATCTTGCAATTAAAATGAACATGTGTTTAAATAAACAACAAGAATGTCGAATTTTTTAATTAAATTGTCTGTGTTATTTTTGTAGTTGAAATATTACTTTTTCCAGGTCAAGTCAAAATTTGTATTCGTTTGACTTTTCTGCAAAATAACAAATAAATAAAAATCTTTTCTAAAGTGATTCCGGGATATACTTTACATCATTTGTATGTGACTTTTAGTGCAAAAATCGGAAATTTTTAGCTTGGACTGTACTAAAATTACAAGCATTATTACAAAAATTGCACAAATAATGCAGTAATATAACTCAAAAATCGATTTTTTTTTTGAGTAAATTTTATAAATAATAAAACCTCTCTTGTATTTAAAAAAAATGTCTGTATATATTACTTTTTTTTTTGTTTTTTTTTTTTTTAATTCAGCATTTCTGTAAACCATTTAAATACACCTGACCTGATCGAACACAAAATTGACACCAGTACGCTGACAAATCAACTTTTTATTGTTGCTAAGCGAACAGATTGCATTTTGAATTACCTTTAATACAGGGGTGTACTCGAAATTTTAACCGAATATTCGATTAATTTTATTTCGAAAACGCAAAAACTTTCATATAAAGTATTTTTTGTCAATTGGTTCTATTTATCATCACCAATTACCTGCTCTTTTTCGGTAGTGTGTTTCAAAAACACCCTGTAGTACTGTTGATATCTCATTAATTATTATAAATAGAACAAAAGTCAAAGTTTAAAGTTGTACGGTTCTTTGAGTACAATTATACAGAGTGTTTTGTTCCTAAGGCGTAACAAACTGCTATAATTTTTGATAATGGAATATTTTATATACTTTTAAAAGCTTTACAGCCGCTGCGACTTGTCACGTTGTTTCTGTTTTCTTGAAATTTTTTAGCAATGTAAGGGTTAAGTAAAAAACATTGCAGAAGGGTTATCTTTAAAATCTGTGTTACATTATTTTGTGGGGAGATATAATAATATAACAAAAGAATTCTTGTAACCTTTACTCCAAAAAACAACAAAATTTAATAATCAAGTATAAACTAAATAAAATTTAAAATGTTTTTCTTGGAAAATGAAAACCGTTTGCTGTAAAATTTTGCACAAGCTTTGAGTTATCGAAAACAAAAACAAGTAAAAGAAACAATATTGTTATTGATTAAATTGAAAACAACTCGTTTAATTGTTTCGAATTTTTGGAAAAGTGATATATTTGTTTTCACTAAAATGTTATATTAAAATTACATAAAATTTTATAATTTGTTTAAGAAACTGGACTTCTTTTAATGATTGTATTTCAGAGAATAGGGAAGTTTTAGAGACATATTTTTCATTTGTTTGAGCATATGTTGTCTGTGTCTTTTCTCCTTTAGAAAATAAATCTGTTACAAATTTTCGATTACGCTGACTCTTTATTTTGTCTTATAATTTAAAATTCTATTGTGTTATTTGAAACGATTTTTTTTAATTCTTGCCATACGGTTTTATACAATTTGTCCGTGATATTTAGAATAAATTGTACTTAAAATCTGGAGCACCTCAAGGGATGTTATTTGTTCCACTGCTCTTTACAATATATATAAACGATAGAAAATCTGGTCCCTCAGTCAATGCAGATCATGATAGCAGTAGTAGAAGGCTTAAACAAACATGGTAGCTAAAACACTAACATTATTAAAGGAAAAAAGCAGAAGATAAAACAACTTCATAAATAACAAATTAGAAGCATCATGTTCCACTAATCACTGGTCAACAAAATTCAATTTTTTCTCTCTAACTTTGACATAATTGTAATGTTTTCGTTTAATTTGTCTCTGTGTTTGTAACAAATGGCATAAACCTTACAACTTAGCTCAATTAAAAAGACAAATGCATATTTGATGTTAAAAACAAATAATCAGGTAAAACAATTTAATTTTTGTATATTTAACGGCAAAAAGTGATGTATTAACAAAAGAACAACCATAATTAAGAAAAAAACAACGATTTTAGTTTAAAAAACGAAAAAAACAAAAGAAACAGCTAGGGCCGACGTTTTTTCGGTTGCCTCCTATAGATTTCATTGGAGATCGCTCGCTTGATGGTCCCGCAGTATTCTACGAGCATTTAGGTGTTCCATCGATCTTGGTAACGTTTTTCTATCCACAAAATGCCCAGATGGAAGCGTTCTCTATGTCCGTCATGCACGTCGTCATAATTTTTGGGGAAAAAATCAAGATGCGAATACATAAAATGCACTTTTAAGAATATGTTAATTAAAAATTTTTTATATGATGATAACATGTTTTCTACTTACTAAACGTAGTTTTCTTATTGTTTCCCAAGAAGTTTGTAGCAATTTGATCACAAAAAAATACACCTTATAGAAAGTTTCGTATTACTCAATAGTACGATTTTTGTATTTTTCAAAGGATAATATTTTAAGATTACTTTTAAATGAGAGCTAAGTTTTGGTTTAGCCGTTTATAATATCATTTAAAATTGTTAATTAAATAATAATTGGCTGCTACAATAAAAGTTAGAGCTTAGCTGTTGACCAGTGATAATTACTGTTTTTTGAAAATTATTATTTCATTCCTTTTGAGATCCAGCGTCTAACGAACAAAGAAGTATTAGGACAAACTAGTCCCCTCTAGAGAAAATGAAAAAATCGCTTTTTCCAGAACGTGGTTTTAAATCCCTTAATTGCAACCTCTTTGATTTATTGAATTAATTACGATTTACGTTCGTGTATTTCATGGGAAAGAGCCAGCTGGTAAATGCGATTTTCTTAAAAATGCACAACTTATTTAACGATCCACCCTGGCTTTAGCTAAAGTGCTTATTACCTGTTTTTCATCTTTGTGGTAAAAAATAAACAGCTATGCAATAAAGGCATTAAATATGGAGAAATTGTATCTACCTGAAATAAAAAGCTGTCTGAAGCTTTAGCAAAAAAGTCACTCGTTCTTAAATAAAGTCCTGTGCGTAAGAAAGTCAGAGTTTAGTGTTGAACTTTAGTGTAACTTAGTATTTTTAAATTAACCAGTGGCTATGTGGTGTGGAAGAAAAATTTATAAATGGAACATTTGCGCTGCTTTCGTTTTGATTTCTATAAATCTCTTCAAACACGATCATAATTTTCTTCCACAAATAAAAAGGTTTCCAGGTTGTGACTATTCGAAAATCTTAGTGAATTTTGGGACATTTAAGGAGTTTATACTTGGAAATGTATCTGATTCGGAAGAAAGAATAATTCAACTTCCAAAGCTTAAGGTACGAGTGCTATTAGAAACTGAGTTTTGTATACCTTTTGACACAATATTGCTTGTACGGAGAACTTTTTTTATAATGGATGGAACCTTTTTTCTAAATTACATAATCACATTTGTCTATCAAACCCTAACTATTTAGTTTCTTTCAAATTGTTTCAACATTACCATTAGAAGAGCACTAATAAGGTATGTGATATTTCAGTGCAAAATTTTATGTGTTAGCGTGAGAAATCGAGATAATTGTGACAATAAAACTTACAAAAAGAGTTTATTTGACTATGAGCATGACAAGAATATTTCAAAGTATAACGTATTGTACTCTAATTCACAATCATTTTTAAAATTTGCTTTTAGTTTTACAGAAAAATGCAATAAATTTCTTCACAAAGTTATTCTGGGACAATTTTTAATCAGTTCGTTTTCAACTGCATTAGAAACGCTTCAGCTAACATTGGTATACTAATATCTGTTCTGACCCAAAATACTGAAAAATATAATTTTGAATTAGATTAAACATCCGGACTCTGATTTTTTTTGGTTTTTCTATTTCGACTTAATTTTTCGCCTTGGTGGTTTGGAACTGAATCTGAACGGAAGGCCAGAGTTTAAGTCACGTTAAGGAATTCCAGTTAAAATTAGTTTAAATTATCTTGAAACCTGAAATTCAAGTAACAGTTAAACATATGCAGCTTTTTTTTAACTCTAATACTTATAATTCGCACAATTTAGGAATTTATATTGTAACATTTTTAATTACATATTGTTTACAGTTGGTTCAAAACTTGTTAACTAAAACACAAAAAAATTAAATCACTCATACAGTCACCCACAGAGAGGCAGACAAATAGCAGCCTAAAAATAGCATTTCACTAATATTAGTTTACAAAAGATGTCATGAATTTTAGCTTTGGAAAAATTACATGTAAGAACTTTTTCAGTAATTTTGAAAAATGCTAAACAACTACTGAAACTTACCATCCTGTCCACGTGTAAATAATAGTACATAAAATTTGATACACAGATTCAAATACTTATTAGGAATTTTACACAAACAAATTAAAGTAAACATTGCATCTGAAAGGATCGTTGAATTTGTTACTTATTATTTTAATAAATGTTTAACTAAATTTCCAGCTGCATTTTCCTTCCAATACTCTTAACGACAAATAGGTCACTGAATCGTTAACTTCGGTCCACAGTACATCATGAGAAATACACAGATGCACTTGGATAATTTATATTATCACAATAGTTGAAATTAATTTTCCCTTCGAACCCAGCATTTAATTTAATGTAACTACTTATTATCTTTTAATAAGCGTGTTTAGACTTTATCGTAGTTCAGACATTAATAATAAAAAATAAACCAGTTTTCTGAAATAAAAACGTTTGATTTTAAACATTAATAAAATATTAAGCTCGATTTACAATGTCTCGTCGGTTTAGATCACTCTTAGTTTCCAGTTCGTGTGTTGAGCAACGTCTGCTACTTGACAAGAATGAAAGCTTTCTTCTGGAAAGACACCATTAAATTCAACGTACTAATTTTAAAATTAGTGGGTTTGTGGCCTGAAAACAACACTTATAAACTAAACTCGTACCTTTTGTACTCATTTTTGAGTATAAATATTTTCATCAATGCTCACACCGTTTTCCAAACAACAAATATATTATTCGTGTACAAAGATTTAGAAGCTTTAACGTCTATAATTTTTACTACATTTATGGAAGTTTTGACATCAGCTAAGGCCTATTTCTTTATCCAAAATATGGACATACTGAAACAACTAATGAAAAACTTGGACGAGAAAATATTTCAACCGAAAAACGAACACCAGAGGGAATTAATCCAACAAATTTTAAATGTTTGGAGATTTACTTACGTGGCTTTTTGGATACCTGTGGCCACTACTTTGATTTTGTGGTCGGTTATTCCTTTCTTGGATGGTTCTTTTAAAAATTATGGACTACCGTTTACTGCGTGGTATCCGTATAATAGTAAAAGTTCGCCATGGTACCAATTTACTTACATCCATCAAGTCATCAGTATATGTTTTATAGCAAGTGCTAATTTAAACATGGATATGATTATAGTCGCTTTATTGGTTTATATTGTGGCACAATGTGAGATTTTATGTGATGATTTGAAGAACTTAACCAACTATTGTAATACACAAAACTTTTACTTAATGTTCAGAGAATGTATAAAACATCATAAGAAAATTTTAAGGTATTGATATGAGTGTCTATTAAATTTGTGATTTTTGTATTATAAATATTTTAGGTTTGCTGATAATAGTAATAAGTTCATTGATAAATTGGTTTTGGGTCAGTTTTTCACGAGTGGGGCATCTTTAGCTCTGGCTATGTTTCAGCTTACTTTGGTATTTAGTGTGAAGTTTTACAGAGTGTCAAAAATTCTTATTCTTGTTCGGTAGGTGAAGCCTCTGAGCGGTAAATGTTATTCCATACTTTTCTATGTAAACTCCGTTTCGGTACAACTTTTTCTATATTGTTGGTTTGGCAACGAGTTGTACGAAAAGGTAAGAACATTAATTGTAATTTTTCAATAAAACACGATCAAAAACAGCCATGGATTTTTGAAACTTTGTCTCTGATCGTTTCATTTTCAACTCAGACTTTCAAATCGACGGTAACCTGACAAGATGAAAATCCGATCCAAGACAAATCTTTAAAAAGCCATGGTTATTTTTGAGCGTGTTTTTATTGATCTCTCGGTATTGGGTATTACGGGGCGACTATGAATTATTGAGATTATATTTTTGACTTTTTCGAAAAAGTGAGATAATGAAAACATGCGACTGCGTTTAAAGTTGGTTGTTGTATTCGGGTTCAAAAAAAGCTTGTTCCTCCTTAAAGCAGAGAAATATCAGCGGTGATAACATGGTTAACTTCAAGTGTTTATGCTTATACATCGGAAGAATATCACGTAGAAATTTATTTGATTTGAATGAGTTTGTTGCCTCAAAACCTAGGCTGAAATTATTAATCAAGACACTATCAAACAAAATGTTCTGAATATCATTATTATTATTCTTATTTTATGATTAAATAAAGACGTGCATATTCTGACATTTTCGGGAAAATGGGGTGACTCGCTCTTAATTTAATTAATAAAAAATGAGAGAGTGATTATTTATTTCGGAGTATTATTTATTGTATCTAATGAAAACAAATTTTGCCGCCCGCGAATTTTCAAAGATGAATGTGAAATGAAATCAGTTACAAAAATTACTCAAAATGGGGTTGCTGAATGGAAAAAAAATGCAAGAAGAAGGTTTGTTGTATTATTTATGAGCGACTTTCATGGAACATATTATACTAATAACTTCATATTTTATTATTATTTTGTTCTTTGTTCAATTTATTTACGAATTCGTCATCCCATTTATCTTCGCAAACACCATTTAATCGAACTTTGCCTTTCTGACAAGGAATGAGAAAAATGGAGAAGAAGTACGGGGCACGAACTCTATCAGGCAAGCCCTAAAAATTATTTGTTAGCAAATATTTACAAATTAACAGTTTGATTTATCTTACCGTCGTCGGTAAGTCCTAAAAATTATTTGTTAGCAAATATTTACAAATTAACAGTTTGATTTATCTTACCGTCGTCGGCATAGTTGAAACACTTAATATTAAAAACATTAGTAGGAAAAAAATTACTCTTTTGGACACCATAATAATAAGACCCACTAGCACGAATGGGTAACTTTAAGTGAATACGTCAAACATATTCTGGAATGTTCTTTTTATATGTATGAACTTTGAAATTTAAATACAATTATGTATATGAACTTGAAATTACTGAAAGATGAAAATTCCGAAGGTCGCGGTTAAAACCGCAGGCTTTACTATACTGATGCGTGATGATCTCGGACTAATGAGATTGCACGCCAACGTCGAAAGTCCCGGAGCAAGCGTCGCATTTTTGTCGTGGAATTGTTTAGTCACTCTGGGAAAACCGGGTGGTTAAAAATTATGCATGAAATCGTGTTTGCGCAGAAGTGACACTTGTATCAATAAAAATAATTCAAAATCGATGATTCAAAAGCAAATCTTTTCAATGTCTCACAAATTTGTCGATTTGAAAGCGACTTTTTTTACAAACCTGACATTTTCAAAACCTGACATTTTCAAATCGAAAATTTTGGAAAAATTAAACGAAGCCAAAAATAAATTCTGGAGGTCCTCAGTTACACAAATATCTCTTTAGATAATTTTCCAAAATGGTCAAAAATTTCGGTGAGTTTTCGGAAAAGTTATCTAAAAATCCACAAAAAATTCTGCGATATTATAGAATTCGACAAGCTGATTCAAAAATAAAGAGGGTTTATGATCCTAGAGAACAATTGTCCAAATATTAGGGAAACCATTTTTTTTTAATCCAAATAATTCTCATACTCTATTTTGGCGAGTCTGGAACGACGGTAGAATTTTTAGAAAAATGGTGACAAAAATAAATTCCGTCGGCCGAAATTTACAAAAAAAAGTCTCTTAAAGTAATTTTTGAGAAAGTATCGAAAATTTCGTAAGGAGTCAGAATTTAAAAATTTAGCTGTCGGAAAAGTTGCCTAAAAATTCATCTTTATGTTAATTAATTTCTTTAAATTAATGTCTAAATTTCACAAAACAAACAAAGTACATAAGTCGTTAATGAGCGAAATTACAGAATAATTTATATTTTAAAAGATTTGGGCCAAAACCAACTTTAGTCTCTCAATTAACTTTTACGGTTTTTAATTTTTAAATGCCTTCCAACGACGTTCGTTAATTTGAGGGTGCACCAGAATGTAATTTTAGTATTTTGAACTACTGTTAATATTTTGAATTATATAAATTCGATTTACGTTAATTTAATGTGTACCTATATTTTGACTGAGTTAAAGTAGATACATTGAAAAATATAACGACGTGGAAAGGGAGAAAAAATGTGACAACCTGGAATTCGATCCCACGTTCCCCATTTGCCGAGCGGGTTTATCGACCATCAGGTGTGACTGTCTTTCCTCACTTTCCACGTCATATTGTACCGCCACAATGACATCATTTCTGTTGTTGTTGGTCATGATGACCTCAGAAAATACTGAAACGAGTATTTTAAAAATTTAAGTGTACTTTGCAAGATTTCTACAAAAATTGAGATATGGCCAAATTTTGGTTAGTGTTTTACCGCCTATATGATGTCCCTAATGTGCACACAAATTTGTAAACAATCGATCCAGTAGTTTCAAACATTAAATGTCTAATAAAAATCGACACAAACGACAGAGCGACAGACAGATAGACAGACGGATAGACGGAAACGAAAGATCACTGTTTTCGTATTCTAGGAGTCATGAAATATGCTATTCATCTCATTTCAAGTGACATTTACTTTACAAAATTTTAAAATGACATCATTAAGTCCCTGCCAGGGATAAAGCTCATCTTTTTCTTCTTTTCCTTAGCTGGCAAACGTTTTCCTTAAATTCCCACAATTTAATAATTAAAAATTACAACAACGTTTAACATCCTCTTATCATTGTTGCATAGATCTCAAAAAATCTTTTTATTCTTAAAGGGTGTAGACTGAACTAAAATTAACTAATTTAATTTCGTTTATAGTGATTACATGGAATCTGTACTGCTGTCCTTAATCAAAGGTTTCATATCTTTTTAGTGCTAATATTTATTGAATATTAAAAAAAATATATTTGGGGTTTAGTCTGTAGGGACAAGAAACATCAGCATCAAATTGACGTGAGAAGACCAGCTTCTGCAAGTTACACTCTATCACCGTCCCTGATTAATATTTCTAGACACTCTAAGATAGAGAGAATTAAGAAAAAATTGTGTAAGTTTGCGCTAGAAAAATATTCCTCTTTATAGATTTTCAAGATGTCTTTGTATTGAATGACGTATAAAAACATCCAGCCATCACTAAGCCCTACTTTTACTTATTGAAAATTAATTAAGAATTGCATTTCCACAGTCCGTGAGAACCTCCCAGGTGTCTGGCACATTTTTTCCAAAATCCACAAATCATTAATTTTTCTTCCATTAGATTTATTGGAAGGTACTTATTACCCCTGTTTTTTGTTATCTTCGTGATAAGTAATTACGTGGCAGTACAAAGACGCATTAATTATGGAAACACAACTGCAATTACCTACTGCTAAAATTTCCTACGTTCGTTCCACGGCATTAATAAAAAATTACTCCGCGCCTTTAAATACCCATGCAAATTGAAAGTAATTCAGTAGGTCTCTAAACCATTCCGTTATTTGTCGAGTGTTGAAAACGCGTCGCGAAGCTCAACATGCAAAAGGTAAAAGAAAAAATTTTGTTTGAAGTTAACCACAAAAGCGAACATTATCTCACTGAATTTGTTCCTCCTTGGTTATAACTTTTTTTATGTACACCGAGATTCAAGGTGTAAGGGTATTTGTCAAAATCGCAAATGTAGCATCTTTAAAAAACATGTAGGTACTATGTTGTTTCAATGGCTCGCTGGAAGGGTCGTTTACAAACTACAAGTTATCAGGTTCTTTTTATTTAGTACCTTTATAACACTAAAGTGTCACTTTTTATGAAAGTACATCCATTTATCAAGTTCTTTCTGCCTATCTTCTAGAGGTTAATTTGTTTTAATTACTACTGAGCGTATACTTTATGACACAAGTTTGACGATAAAAAATTATCATAAAATAATAACTCAGATGGTTATGTCTAGTTTTTGTGTGACAAATCTATTATTTGCAGATAAGTATATAAGATTAACCTATAAGTAAAATCTCTAATCTAGTTAGTTCCGTTTTGAAATTCTGTCCTAGAACATATTTGGTGTGAATACCCGTTTTAGGACATCTTATTTGATATTAAAAAAAAATTTTGAACTGGATTAATTACTCAATTTTAATTAATAACTAAAGCACTGCATTAAAGTATAACATCAATAGACAATTTTGAGCTAATTAGATTTTTACTTCAGTTTAAAATTCATTTTATTTTGTTATCAAGTTTTATTAATTAAATTCAAAGTATGCTTTTTCACATACGTATCAAAGTCGCATGATTTCAAAGGTGACTTTGATGACAATTTTTCTTTTGCAGGCTAGCATTTATTTATAATGTCAACTTTACAAGCTAAAATAATTTCACATCTTTTTTTCCACACCTCACTACATTATGAGCTGATTATCATGCAATACCAGAAACGATTATCATGAAATAGAGCTAAGAACCATACCGATTAAACCGACTTTCAAACAAACAAAAAAATGTCCATTGAATTCTGTTCATCCGTTTGGGAGCTACAGTGCCACAGACACACAGAAGCTTCAAAGCTATGATTATTATAACAATCCTCTTTCTTCGTCGGGGGTTAGTAGTGAGTTTTTGTTTAAGATAACGTCATGCTTGTTTCACCTGTTGCTACGTTACCGTTATTGCTGTAAAATTTTCCGTAAAAGCACCCTAATAAGGGAAAGTTTGCGTTTCATTTCTAATCAATATTATCGTAAGGGATTCAATGTATGTTGGGTTGCATAGGTTACTTACCAAACACGCTCAATGGTTTTAATGTGACATACGTACATGTTAAGTGTTTATTTTCTGAGTAATTAAATATATACTTTTAAGCACCCTCCATGTTATTTTTTTAATAATTTTCACGTTTATTCTTGTTTCGACTTTTTTACATGATAAGGATTTAACGACTAAATAATTAAAAAACCCAGACCAAAATTTAAGAAAATCGCTAACAATTAAAATAAATAGAAAACGCCTCACTCCGCTGTTTTGAATTTAAAAAAGATGCCTATTATATTTAGAACAAAATAAATATAACACTATATACTAAATAGAAAGCAGTTTAATGATAAGGACAAAATTGCACTGCATTTTAGTTTGGATCGATATTCTAAGGGATTTACGTGTATGTTGGGTTGCATCAATCTCTCATTAAATCTCGAGATTCCTTGAACGAGAGACTGGATACTAAATCAAAATTAAAAGAACAACTTATAATGTAGTAATAAAATTTTAGGTGTACAAGTACTAAAAAGCAAATTCCGGTTAAAAATCAGTTTGTTTTGTTAATTGTAGCTAGCATACTTTTAATTTTCGTCATGACTACGGAAAAGATTTATTTGTTCGTCCTTAAATTTAATTGTTAGTTTAATATCGGTTCTATTTTACCAGGTGTGAAATAATCCTAAAACAATAATCGTCTTTTAATATAATTTAACAGTTAGTTCCATTTATTTTTAATTTTAATAAGAATATTTTTTATCCGAATCTGCAATATGTTCAAGTCACCTAGTTCCAACGCTCCGCGCACATTTAAAATACTATTGATTTCACATCGTTAATAAAAAATGAGGATGTAAACAAGAGTATTTAAAAAGCGGTCCACTACATCCCTCATAGTTCCGTTTTGAATTTCAAGCTTTAAACTTTATTAAACACAGTTGCAACCATGAAAACGTTCGACTGGAAAAATATTATCAGTACAGACATTTTTGTTCTGAAAATTGTAGGACTGTGGCCGAAAAACAACGTATTCAAACTCAATCTCTACTCGATATACACATTTTCCATCAACATTTTCGTAAACGGTCACAACTTCTTTCAAACCGCCTTCATTGGTCTCATCTACAAAGACCTGCAAGCCCTGGCGGCTATAATCTTCGTGCTTCTGACGGACTGGCTGGAGACTCTTAAAGTTT